GAGAGCAACTACCTTATGGTATTATGTCTATGACAAATATGTCTAGACTTATCATTATATATCACATTTTGTGCCACTGCAATCGATTCTTGATTGTCAAAATGAATGCATATCGAAGGCACAGGTTTTGGCCATAGCAAAACATCCTCTAAAAACTATTGAAACCACTTTGCTTCTTCAGCAACTTTATCTAAAGCAACAGACTCTAATTCCATCGTGGAGCACACTATTAGAGTTTACTTTGAGGATTTCCACAATATTGTGGCAACTCCTAGCGTGAACACATATCCGCTAGTTGATTTCAATTCATCGGAATCCGAAATCCAGTTGGCATCACAATAGCCTTCCAAAATAGCTGGATATTTGCCATATTGTTGATCATAGTCTTCATTCTCGATCGTGTTAATCACCCGGGCAAAAAGTAATCCAAAATCTCTTGTGCTCTAAATAGGCATAATTACTCTAACAGCTTCTTCTTCTTCTTCTTCTTCTTCTTTTTAACTCTAACAGCTTTTCATCAGTCAACATTTAGTTTTTCTCGTGGACCAATAGCATCTGTTTTTATGGTCTTTGAAGTCAAAAGCTAAATTGGAAATTAGATTACTTTTTGAACGCAGGAGATTATGAAAAGTCAAAAAGAAGCAAAGGTGAATTGACTTATTTTCTTAGCCATCACATAAACAAACAAACGGAGGAAATTATGCATATGCAATCCTAATTTTTATTAGTTTGTCCTACTCTAACTTTCAACTCACTCCTAGACATCCCTGCCTCTAGCCCCTCCTAAAAAGTTGGGGAATCAAACTCCCCACCTCCCCTTTCCCAAGTAGGAAATGTGACTTTTGGAGCAAACCTCAGTGGTTGATGCAATCCTAATTTGATGACAGCTTAATGGTGTACTAAGTGTCGGCCTACGGAAGTATGTGATTATCATCTTCTAACAAGACGATCATGTTGAGATTCATCCAACGTAAGACAGCTCAGCCTGGCCAGCATGGACATCAATTGCGAATTCTTAAATGGGTTAATACCGCGAAACATCCAAAACTAACCAGAAACTAATTTTTTGATCATGAATAACTCCAAACTGGTACATCTATGACAAGTTTACCCCAAACTAATTTTTTGACCACCAAAAATCCTAAACCGGTACATTTGTGACAAATTTATCTTATGTTAAATTGAATTAATACCACAAACGAATACATCTGTAACAAACAGAAGATAAAACCTCAAACCGATATACCCGTCAACTGTTATGTGTCATTTAATTAAAAAATTTGATGATAAATTTGACGGAAACTAATAGAGGGTAAAATTGTCATGGGTGTATCAGTTTGGGATTTTTTGTAGTCAAAAAATTAATTTAAAATAAATTTATTACAAGAATACCAATTTGAAGTTTTTCATAATATTAATCATTCTTAAATAGCTTTGTTAATGAAATGGAAGTGACAAGTGGTGCTTCCATTACGGCATGTACATTTGGAAAAGGGCGTATTCCCATTATATTCTTTTGTATGTTGGCCTACTATTATACGGCGCAAGGGAGAGCAGTCAATTCCAAAAAGCCTATTGGGTGCTTAAATCAGAAGAAAGCTGGTGTTGTTTCGTCTTGTCGTGTCGTGTCATGTCATCATGGTTACCCTTCGACAGTCAAAGATGACTAGAGTGTCACATTAGATATATCCGACGAGACTTACCTAAAATGATTTGATTGCATTTTCCCACATAAGTTTAAGACTACATTAGTTCAACTAAAAAATTTATGCTTCATTGGTTCGAGCTTCTATACAATAACTTTAGGACAGATTGTGCAATTATCTTGGAAATATGATAATTCGGTTTTCTCGACCCCATGCTTGCGCCCAACTCAGTACAGTATATATGCTTGCATTAAACTCGATTCAACTCAAATATTAAAAACTAAAGGGAAAATTCCAAATAAGGGGATGAAGTGAGGTTAATTTTTTTTTTAAAGAACCCAAAGTGGATATTGTTTTAAATAAGGATTTGAAGTGACCAAGTCGATTTCTAATAAGAGCCTAATTAAACTCGCTAGCCGGCCAAAATTTTCCTAGTCGGCGAATACTTAATTTTTTCGACAACCAGAATAGGGTAATTTTGTCTGAAACAAAATCTGGATTAAAATTAAGAAGGAAAATTTAACGTAGCGTTGATGTGGCGCCACATCTGTAAAAGTTTAAAAAAACTAATTCATCATAAGTTACTGTTCATCTTCTTTGAAGTTACTATTTATCATCTTCAACCTCACGATCGCTCGGCCAAACTCCCCTGGTGCACATTCGTCGTTGCCACCCAGACATCCGAGAGCGTCCACCGTAGCTACTAGCCAGGGCGGTCGCAAGCTTCAAGATCGGATTTGGCTTCGAAGCTTGCAAGGTTGCATTACTGGAATATGTCGATGGCTGTTGCCGAGGTTAAGTCGATCTTGGTCTTTTTAGTTTTTAGGAAGAAATCGATCTAGAACAGGTTAAGTTCTCGGTGAATTGCTGGCCCTTTCTCCCCAGCTATCTACCATTAATCTTGGAAATCCATCAAATAAGGGAAATTTTCCACACTCTTCTTTGACAGAACGTGCTGCACATTGTCCCCGAAAGCTTGTGTCCGCCACATCTTTGGTTTTTCGTCCCATCGACCAATAGAATTTGATTTTATGGTCTTGGTCATGAGAAAATGTGATTTCCTATAACTACTCCATTATTGCCTCGGAATGTCTTGACGCGGCCGCATTCTACGACTTTTAGCCATTTCATAAGGGATGATCCTGCCAGAAATGTTGTCTAGCAAAATCCTAATTCTCCCCATTTTCTTAAGTTATTGATTTTATGTTCAAACGGAAACCCTAATTAGCTACTCCTGGTCAAAATACCACCAGTTCTCTCTCCTCTTTCGATAGCCCGATTCGCATTGATAGCAAAAGAGAGAAGAGGGGTTGTCTCGACAACAATTACAGAGCGCTTCTGTGCATACTGTGCTTAGAGATCACCAGCAAACGAAAAATCAACATAATAAAAGGAGTCGAGTAGATTGGTATCGATGCAAAGTTTGACTTGAAAGTGATGCTTTGATATTGCATCGTGAATATGAACAAAATTCGGTTTCGAATCCCTGTGCTCGAGCTCGACTCGATATAGTATGTCGGGCTCGAAATTGAACTCGATTTAACTCGATTATTAAAAACTCGATTTCTACTCATTTACAACTCGTTACATAGGATGTTTCTTTCTTTTCTTTTTTTTTTTTTCTAATCATATATTGTACCTGCTGCAAAGCCTGGTCATGCCATTCGATTGCTTTATCTTTCAACTCTATCAAGCCTAGTGTTTGATTGGTGGTGTGGTTATCTAGTTTAGCATTGTCTAGGCCCGATAATTTTTTGATAATAGTTTATAGATGCCGGATCCATGATATCCTATATGTTGTAAAATTAACGCGCGAAATGCTAACTGGATCTTACAATTTAAGTCAATGTGAGAAAATCAAAAAAATAAACGAGGAATAATAAATGACACTAAATATTTACGTGGTTCAGTTCGAATATTGGTATCTACATCCACGGAGAAAATCAATAATAAATAATCTACTAAAATTGGAGAATCGAAATTATAATTGTTCATACGTTCGAGTGTTTATCACATATAAATTATACACAAACCCGAAATATTTACAAATATGGAACTTGCTTGGACGTAAAACTCAGAGCACAAATCACTGTATCCAAGACACGTCTGCACTGCCAAAGAAACATAGTGTTCCCTGTTGGTGTGGCTACATCAAGAGCTCATGGTGTGGCTGCCTTCGTGAAGTGCACATGCTGGTGGCTTCAACGAGGAGAAGGGAATATTAGAGAAACCCTTGTGGGCCTTTATTTTGTCTTGTAGTTGCAGTGAGCATCTTTCCTCTTATTGGTCCAACCTGCCACGACAATGGTGAGTGCATTTTTTAACGGGTTAACGCCGCTAAAAGCTTCAAATTGATATACTTATAATAAATTTATTTTAAATTAATTTTTTTATCACAAAAAATATCAAATTGGTATATTTATGATAAATTTATCATAAATTAATTTTTTGATCATAAAAATTCCTAAATTAGTATATTTGTGATAAATTTATCATTCGTTAAATTGCATTAATACAACGAAAAATCACAAACCGGTACACCTATAACCCCAAACTGGTATACCTGTCAATTTTCACGTGTCATCCAACTTAGAAATTTGACGATAAAATTTAACGGAAACTAACGGAAGGTAAAATTATCACAGGTGTACCGGTTTGGGGTTCTTTTTATGGTCAAAAAAATAATTTTAGGTAAATTTTTCATAAGTGTATCAGTTTGGAGTTTTTCGTGGTATTAACCCCTCTTAAATTTCATTGTGCGGTCAAACTCGGATATTTATCCAACCAAATCGGATTCCATAAACAGCTCAAATTCGTGGCATAATTTAACATCATAACTCAAGGGAGGTTTGAGCTAGAACAAGGTTTATTTGTTTGTTTTTTTTATTATTATTTTTGGTCTGAAAATTAGGTTTGTTGGCTCAAATATAAATATCATCCATTGACCATAAGGACTTGAGGAGTTTGTGTCACAACCGCACTTCCACTCACTCACGGGACACTTTCTAGAGTTGTCCTTCCCTAGCACTTCCTTTGGGATAGGGATTAATAACAATTCCACCTGTACATATTGGAGCACGAGAGACCCACCCAAAACAGCGAATAAAATAGTCCATTCTATTTTGCAAGTATCGCTAGGTGGCTTAGTTCTAATGACTCTCTTAGGAATATAAGGTAATAATGGAGCGAATCTGTCAAACGGTTCTCGACAAGAGCAGGAATGCTCTTTCATCATGTACGTGGATCACTCGGCTGATTTACAACATTTTGCATAGAAATTACGAAAAAAAATGCAAGAAGTTATAATTTTCGTTATGATTCAAGAATCTATCTCTTAATCACCATACAACTGTTCATGTATTATGAGAAGAAATTTGATAAATCCTCCGACGCAAAAGTTATTCATCACATCAAATCTCCAACGTTGTACAGTAGAAGTAGACGACCGGTCACCGTGCGTCATTCCAAGTTTCACACACAAACATAAAAAGAAGCTTCCAAATTCATATGCCATACAACAAGATGAGAAATTTTTTTGTAATTTCTGTCTTTATCCGTTGTCTGGCTACCCTTCATTACGGTTACTCTGCCACGCGCACTGAGGGCAAGTATATGATGAAGAATATCGTCCTCCTCTATGCCCGCATCTCAGACAATAAGCTGGTAACCCCATCTGGACGCTCATTGGCGGCGGAGGTGGAGGCACCAGCTTGGTAGGTGTAGGCGGCTTCGGTTTTGGCTTATCTTCATCTTTCTTCGGAGGTGGAGCTGGAGGAGCTGGCATTGCGACCGGAGCAAATGCCGCGGCCGCTTTTTTCCGGATTTTCTTCTCTCGCCACCTGATGGAGTAGAAAAGGAGACCGCAGAGAATCACGACAACGATCACTGCGCCGACAATGACCCACGTTGGAGTTTTATCGTCGTCGAACGGTACAGAATTCGGATCGATCCATGCCGACGGAGGAGGAAAGTACCGGAAACCCGGATAAGTTTGTGGATTGTTACTGTTCTCCATCAAGAAAACTCTGTGGAGGTAGTTCAATGCAAGCGGTGAGTTTACAGACATATTCCGAAGCATCAAATTCATAAGGCAGTAACTTTTCATCATGATGAAATGAGAAGATTATACGATCCGAGCGTGAGATCGAGATGATTCGACACGAAATCCGGCGAGATATAATACGAGTTGAAGTAGATGCTTGCTTATACCTTCACAAGAAGAACCGAGCAAACCAGTGAATTGACGTTGTTGCTCCAACTCTTGCGCGACCTGCAAAGAAGTGAGAATTTTCATTAGGTAGCATCTAGTTATAATGGCTCTCTATCTACTCCTCCATATGGATGGGTGTGCGTTTTAATTTAATGCGTCACTTTCTTTATTGTGAGGATGTACGTAAGATGTAATAATTGAATACGATAGGACAAATGAGTTGGGAATATCATTCACCTACCAAGCAGTCCGACGAATTTTCAGTGAATTCGAAAGTGCGTTCGTTTCGCGAAAAATAAGTGATTTAGAAAATATTTTTTGAAAAATATATTGCTTGCATCATTTACAAAAATAAATGAATGAAAATTTTTTTCATCGCCTACGAAAATAGTTAGGCATGAATTGTTATCGAACAATACAAGTAATCATTTTTAAAAAAATGCTTTTCAAATTATTCATTTATCGCAAAACGAACGCATCATGAGTATTTATACATGCTCATAATCATCTTTCTTCGTGTAGCCTATGGTAGGAATAGGCGTTCTACTCAAATTGTAATGTGATGGTATAATCCAAATTTAGTGCATGGGAGCTTGAATAGCATATTCATAGAGAAAATATAACTGAGGAGAAATATTTTGGAGATGTTGCGGTAGACAATCTTTGCCCTTTGACACGTAGACCATGGAGAAAGGGAAGTTTGGCGTGTTAGGTAGTTGGTATATGTATAAATATTATGAAATGATTGATGTCTAATCAACTCATTATCCAAAAACATTATAACTTTAACGTGTCTTTACTGTGGATTTGAGACGATAAATTTCAGGAAAATGATAAAAAAAAAAGTTGCAAACCTATTAGAGATGTACCGATTTAGTCATAAATATTTTAGTTGTGTCATTTGAGTCTTAAATATTTTAACAATTTACTAATGTAATCCATCCAGCCAATTTTTATCGGAAATCTCTTATATGGACGTCGGCCGTTACGGCTAGCGTGGTGATATCTCATGCTACAATTCAACTGTACAGCCAGTATTGCCGACTTAGGGAATTACTTCCCAAATCATGGTACATGGCTGGGGTGCGTGATAATGGTTGTTATGGTTTGTAGGACTTAATTCCAAAAAAAAGCACCAACTTTACCTTGAGTGACAATTTTGGACCGAACTTTTTTTTTCTCATTAAAAATCAGAACTTACAATTAAATTCAAAATCTAACCCGAACAACTTGAAAATTTTACATCGCGAGGGCCAAATTTGAGACTAGAGTGAAAGTCGGTGCTTTTTATTGAGACAAAATACGAGTATGTCTTTGGTCACCATTACTCAAATTGCTGTATTTAGGTCTCCATATCTTTCAAGTAATTTTTTATAGTATTTATCTTCAAGATAGTGTGTTTGGATTGTGGATGCGTATGAATTTCCCAAAAACTGCAGGACGGAGCTGGTTCCTTTTTGTGATTTCCACATTGCACTGGACAAATCACTTGGGAAACTCGGAAGCCATCCTAAGCAAGTCCTAAAGTTCTAAGGCTACTGAGTGTTAAGGGCAGTGAAAGACAGAAAATTTCTGCGTCATGTCATTCAGACAATCAGTTTGTTCTGAAGTTCCGTTGCGCTGGTTCAACCACACACAATAACTAATGTATCTTTTCCGTTATTATTGTTCTCTCTTTTGATAAGTTAGGCATTTTTTCTGTTGAGGTCCCTTTTGTCGCTGCTTATTATCGGCAATTTCCATTCTGACTTTGTTTTGCATCATGCCTTCCAATATAAAATTTATCTCTTGCTCTGCCAAAACATGAGGTCCGTCTACTATCGCTGAATTTGGAGATCCAAACATGGGTCCCGTTTGGTATTTTAAGGGTCCAGAAAGTTTGCAGATTTGAGAAGTGCGATTCTCGTATACATGTAAGAAGGAACATTGTAATATCTCCAAAAGTATGTCATCGAGATCGCATGCGTTGAGAAAAGAGCAAGAAGAACCATAAATTGTTCATTTGATTCTACCTAATTCGAATGGGATGTTGATTGCCTTCAGGGAACTGACGTACATAAAACATGATAAGCAAAATAATATAAGGCTAGCGAATGAATAGTTACTTTTTAAGATAGAGAAAACGCAAAACGGAGAGATCGCGTCAGCTTCCAAAGAATTGACGATCGTTGAGATACTGCGGAAAGAAAAGGCATCTTTCGTCGAGACAATGTCAAGAACCACTTTCCTTTCTCAAGATGAAGTCGACAGCGTCCTCAACAGTATCCACCACCTGCATAGGTAAACAAAAAAGAGTTCAAATAGGATGAGTGATTTTCGAATTCATTTTGAACCTTGGAAATTTTAGAGATAAGTCAAATTCCCAACAAAAGTGGCTTTCGATCATGCACGGTTTAAAAATACCAACATTTTGCTAGGCTGAAGAGGGAAAGAATTCGTTCAGTCATGTTTCATCCAACCAAAGTTAGAATTCACAGATCACCCAGAGCATAGCAAATCAAGGTATATGAATATGGGAGGACTATCCAAGCTGACACCTCAACTTAAGGCCATGTTTGGCTCATGGCCATGGAATCATGGAAAGGAATCCCAATCTAAGAAATCAAATTCCTAGGAGTGGGGTTCTTTCTTTCTTCATTTTTTGGTTTCAAATTTTACCAATGAAGAGACAAATGTCCAATGTGAGCTGCAAAATGAGGTTAAAACACGTAAGAAATGGAATGCGTCTCCAATGAACATACACAAAGCGGACAGCGAAAAATTAGGGATAGAAACAGAAGGAAGAACCACATAAGATCCCTCAACAATTTCCTGATTATTGTCCTCTAAATGATTTTACAGTTCACAACAAACCCATGATATACAACTCGTCGAAATCTCGCGAGTCAAGCATTTCACACAAAATCCGCAGCAATGAAGATTAAGCCATTCCCATGTAACTTCAAACTACTTCACAGCTGTTACCTCAAACAAGCTTGACTTGAAGATGATGAATGGAGAGAGAGAGAGAGAGAGAGAGAGAGAGAGAGAGAGAGAGAGATGATTTCGCCTAGTAGAGGAATGTGAGGGCTATGGAATCAAGAGGCAGGCAAAACTCATGTGGGAAGGATTTGGAGATGATGAATGGAGAGAGAGAGAGAGAGAGAGTTCTGGTTTTGTAGGATTTGAAGATGATGATGAAGCTCAGACAAATGGTCAGGTTGGGGTTCACGAATGTTTTTCTTTTCTAGGAATTCCAGTACCACCACTACCTGTGCAATCCAATTCTGCATTTTTAGGAGAATCCATTACCTAGGAACTTTGACTCTGCGATCATAAATCCATCCAGAGATGAATTGTAATGGGACTCCATTTCCTGTTTTTTACTCCGATGTGAACCAAACAAGGCCTAAGTGATAACACGATGTACTTACTTCTAAATGTTTTCCTGATGGAATCAAAGATCTGCAGTATCAACCATGACTTTCCACTAGGATCACAGATATGAAATCTCTAAACCAAAGAAGTGAACATGCTGGAATGCACATGATCCGCTTACTTAGGAACCTACTATCAACTCACCCTATCGTACGAGGAGAGATGAGAGACACAGATATAGATATCTGGATTTTGTTAAGAGTACAAATACCTACCAAGCCCGCAGGGAACTCTGAATGATTATCTTTTCGCTTGAATACCCCAGTCCTTGTTAATATAGAAAACCAAGGATCTCCTGCCTGAAGGAGTTGTTAGCAGTATTGGTGATTATGTTCAGAAATAAAATTAGTGATATGATAAAATACGATTCTCATCATGAAATATACCTGCCGTGCGCCTCTAATGTTGATTTTTGGATTATCTCCTATCATGTACAGGGTTTTGAAACAACGAATTCCAGAGTTTGTAGTATTCTCCGCATCTAGGTTGCATAACAAAGATGGCATAAGATTCCTTAGCACGGTCTCAGCATTTCCATAGACAAATGGATTTGGCTTCCCATATGATGTATACGCCAGCGGAATGGGATGTACTCTGCAGAACAGGGACAAGTAAACAATGCGCAACATAAGATTGAAGATTAATGCATGCTGCTATGCTGCATTGACTCAAATTAGGCCTGTACAAGGATCTTATAAGCCATTCTTTAATTTTTTGTCGAGAATATTTGGATCAAATTCCATGCAGACTAAACATTGAGAAGCAGAAACCTCACTATCTTACCTGTTATAGATTGCTTCTAACGCAATCCTGAAAGCTACCATAACCAGACGTTCAGCAGGAAACGTAGCCTGCCTTTTCACTTTGACAGCTAGTCATCAGCCAGTCTTTAGTTCCACTAAGGCTTCAAAAACTCAAGATTGCAGCTGGCATCACAAACGGCATAGCTTACCTGGTATTCTAGGTCATCATTTGCAAAAAACAGGTGCGGTTGCTTTCCAGTCCCACTTCCAGGAAGCCCTCCAGTTCTCAATATGTCACAGAGCACCTAAACCCAAACTTGAGTATCACAGAATTATTTAAATGATATTTCAGCGCCCACTAGACTTCTAAAAAGATGATGACTAAAGTTGCGGAGTAGTTACTGAACAAACAAACAAAGCCCCATGTCTTTTGATAATCAGCTCAAAGATTCAGAACTCGCATGACTAAAAGCCCAGTATGGAGTCAACAGCCGATTTAGATAATCTAAGAAAGGACAGGATCCATTAGAGTGGTCACAACCTGAATATCTCTGCTCCAGTCAACAGAATCACTGACTCCGAATGCTGCCTGAACTCTCTGTGTTTGCACCGCAATTTGTCTCTTTGCATCTCATTAGAAGTGGTACTCTGGTCAATGTCTGGCTTAGTTGTCCATCTCTTGTACGGTGCCAGTGGATCAATGGCATCAAAGTAGCTAGTGTACTCATCAATTGACAGAACATTTCTGCATAGAAAAGATATAAGCAGGAAGAGGGTCAACCGGAGAAAAAAAAAAAGAGAATCAAGTTATTAGAGTACTCGTTCCAGGTGAAACAGTACTGAACACAGACACCTAAATGATTTATGGAGAGGACTCCTCCGTGATTACTCGAGTCCCTGAGAACTTGAGTGATTTTTATTAACTTTGCTTGCTCCTATGTATTACCTAGACATTAAAGTAATATCCTTCAATATCAGTTTTATTAAATACACATCTTTATCCCTTTGCCTCTCTCTCTTCCCCCCACCCACAAAGCTGCATGCACAAGCAAATAAAATCAGAGAACAAAAAAAAAATTAACTGACGTTACCAACGGAACAAGAAAACGGAGCATTACCAAACATGCCATAATCCACTAAAATCAAACAATCAAAGTTACAATCGCTCACACATTTATGCTCGAGTGTTTTCCACATCTAAATTATATCCAAATTCAAAATATTTACAAATAAATAACTTACTTGGATGTAAAATTCACAACACAAATCACCGTATCCAAAACACGTTCGCATGGCCACAGAAACGGAGGGTTCTCTGTTCGTACGGCTACATCGAGAGCTCATGGTGTGGCTGCCTTCTTGGAGTCCAAACACCGGCGGCTTCAAAAAGGTGAAGGGAATATTAGAGAAACCCTTGCGGGCCTTTATTTTGTCTTGTAGTTGTTGTGCACTTCTTTCCTCTTATTGGTCCAACCTGTTGCAACAACGGTGAGTCCAATTCTTGAATTTCATTGTGCAATTAAACTTGGATATTTATCTGACCAAATCGGATTTCGTAAATGGTTCATACTCGAAACATAACTTAACATCATTGATCAAGTAAGATATGAGTCAAAACAAGGTTTACTGTTTGTTTTTTTTTTTTTTTTTTTTTGGCCTGAAAATTAGGTTTGTTGGCTCAAATATAAATTTTTGGAAGTTACTTAGAAGGCAATGTGGGGTTTCATTAGGCATTTATCACGTGGCCACAACAACACCGTTACAAATTAAGGAACGGTTATACTAAGCCGGATCCTACGAGAAACAATTGATGTCATTTTCCAGCACTAGGTGGAGATGAGCAAGTTTCTTTTTTACTCAATCCCTCGTCACCGTCAGATAAGAAAATAAAATATATCATCCACCGACCATAAAGACTTTGAGGATTTTGTATCACGACCGCACTTCCACTCACTCACGGGACACTTTCTAGAGTTGTCCTTCCCTAGCACTTCATTTGGGATAGGGATTAATAATAATTCCACCTGTGCATATTGGAGTACCAAAGGCCCACCCAGAAAAGCGAATAAAATAGTCCATTCTATTTTGTGAGTATTGCTAGGTGGCTTAGTCCCGATGAATCTCTTAGAAATATGAGGTAATAATAAAGTGAATGTGTCAAACGGTTCTCGACAAGAGCAGGAATGTTCTTTTATCCCGTGTGTGGATCATTTGGTCGATTTACGACATTTTTTTATAGAAATTACTAAAAAATGCAAATAATTATAATTTTCGTTGTGATTCGAGAATTTGTCTCTTGATGACCATAGAAGTGCTCATGTGTTATGAGAAGAAATTCGATAAAACCTCCTACACAAAAGTTGTTCATCGCATCAAATCTGCAGCATTGTTCGGTAAAAATAGACGATGGGTGAGCGTGCGTCATTCAAGTTTCTCACACAAGCCTTCCAAATTCACATGCCATACAACAAGATGAGAAAAACTTTTGTAATTTCTGTATCTATCTGTTGTCTGGCCACGCTTCATTATGGTTACTATTCCACTGACACTGTGGGCAAGTATATGATGAAGAATATTGTCCTCCTCTATGCCCGCATCTCCGACAATACCCTGGTAACCCAATCTGGATGCCCATTGGCTTATCGTCAGCTTTCTTCTCTTCCTTCTTCTCTTTCTTCTTACGTGGAGGTGGAGGAGGTGGTATTGCGACCGGAGCAAATGCCGCGGCCGCTTTTTTCCGGATTTTCTTCTCTTGCCACCGGATGTAGTAGAAAAGGAGACCGCAGAGCATGATGACAACGATCACTGCGCCGACAATGACCCACGTCGGAGTTTTATCGTCGTCGGACAGTACAGAATTCGGATCAATCCATGCCGACGGAGGAGGAAAGTACCGGAAATCCGGATAAGTTTGTGGATAGTTACCGTTCTCCATCAAGAAAACTCCGTGGAGGTAGTTCAATGCAAGCGGTGAGTTTACAGAAATATTCCGAAGCGTCAATTTCATAAGACAGTAACTTTTTCATCGCGATGAAATGAGAAGATCATACGATCCGAGTACGAGATCAAGATAATTTGACATGGAATCCGGCGAGATATAATACTAGTCGAAGTAGGTGCTTGCACATACCTTCACAAGAAGAACCGAGCAAACCAGTGAATGATGTTGTTGCTCCAACTGTTCCGCGACCTGCAAAGAAGCCAGAATTTACATTAGGGTGGCATCCTCGTTGTAATGGCTCTCCGTCCCCTCCCCCGTATGGGTAGTGGGTGTGTGTTTTTGGTCAACGCGTCACTTTCTTTTTTGTGAGGATGTGCGTAAGATGTAATGAATGAAGACGATAGGGCAAAGGGTTGGGAATATCATTCACTTACCAAACAGTAGACCTGTTAAATGGGTCTTAAACCCATATATGACTTATTTGAAAAATAAATTGATCATATATGGGTCACTACAATTTTGAAAAGCCCATATTAAATGGGTCTTATTTAAGCCTATTATAAATGGATCTTAATAGATTGAGTGAGGAACCCATTTCCAACTCACCCATTAAGCCCACACACACTTTCCCCATTTTTATAAAATATTTTTAAAAAAATCGAAATTATAAATATAATTATTTTTTTCTCTTTTTTCTTTTTCTTTTTTCTTTTATTTTCTTTCCTCTTTTCATTATTTTCGGCCGGTGGCTGGCCACAACGATGGCCGACGACCGGCCACCGGCCACATGGGAGGGACGACCTCACCGACCAAGGGCGAGGCTCAAGCCTCGCCGATCTGACGAGGCCGAGGCCTCGGGCGGGCTCGCAGTGAGGCTCGAGCCTTGCCAATCGGGCGAGACTCGAGCTCGTCGGCCTCAAGCGAGCTCGACCTTGCCAGATCTGGTGAGGCTCGGCTCGTCGGAATCGGGCAAGCTCGTTCTCGCCTGTGGTCGGCCACCAGCCAAAAATAAAGGAAAAAGAAAAAATAAAAATAATTAAAAATTGGATTTTAAAAAAATAAAAAAAATTATTATATTATTAAAATTATTAAAATGAATACATGAATAAAATCAAATCGTATTTTATATACCAAATGTCGAAAAATATTTTCTAGTTCATTTTTAGGTTTCAACCAAATACTAGAAATTTTTTTATTTTCTTGGATAATAACTTCATGAAAAATATTTTATAAAAATGTTGCATTTTTCGCGAAACAAACAAAACCTCAATTTACAAAAAAATTATAAAAATTGTTCACTAGCTTTGTATTGTATGAAAATGTTTTAGTAGTATAATTTTTAAAAAAAGTCATAAGAAACAAGTTTTTCTATATTGACTTAAATATAGAAGTGTTTTAACAATATGGATCGGGTCGGGTAAGGGTTGGGTATGAGTTGGGTTGGGTATGGGTCGGGATATATATATTACAAATAAATTGATCATAAACGGGTTAATGGGTCAATTTGGATCGGACCATTTATGACCCGACCCAAACCCGACCCAACCCATCCGTTTAATAGGTCTACCAAATAGTCCAACAATTTTTCATTGAATTTGAGTATTTATACATGCTAACAAACATCTTTCTTCATGTAGCCTATGCTAGGAATAGGCATTCTACTCAAATTATAATGTGATGGTATAATCCAAATTTAGTGTATGCAAGCTTGATTAGCATAATTCAAATACAGTTCTTCCAATTTAAAGGAGTTGTATGCTAGTTTGGGGATAATTCCCCAAACAACTGCACCTTATACTCCGCAGCAAAATGGAGTTGTTGAACGGAAAAATAGAACTCGAAAGGAGATGGCTAACTCCATGCTCTTAAGTTCGGGTTTACCTTAGAACTTGTGGGGGGAGGCAGTTTTAACTGCAAACTATATTTTAAATAAAATGTCCCACAAGAAGACGGGTAAAACTCCGAATGAATTATGGAATGGAAGGTTGCCATCCTACAATTTTTTGAATGTGTAGGGGCGCTTAGACAAGGTGGCAATTCCTCCTCTAAACAAACTCGGTTGGGACCTAAAACGATGGATTGCATATTCATCGGTTATGCTCAAAATAGCAACGCATACAAATTTTTGGTTCACAAATTAGAAAATGTGAAAATCCATGCCAATACTATCCTAGAATCAAGGGATGTTGAATTCTTTGAGGATACATATCCGGCGAAAAGAAATCATGGTGAACTTTTTCAGAAAAAAATAAAAAATTTGGAATCTGAGAATGAGGAAGTTGAGGCCAAAGAAGCCAAACTTCGAAGGAGTAATAGGTCACGGATTGAAAAATCTTTCGGACTTGACTTTCTGACATACATGTTAGAAGGTGAGTCTCAAATGTTTCAAGAGGTAATGTCAACTTCAGATGCTCCTTACTAGAAAGAAGCTATTGATATTGAGATTGATTCCATTCTAAATAATCACACTTGGAAATTGGTTGATCTGTCATTAGGAAATAAACCAATTGGATGTAAATGGATCTTTAAAAAAAAGCGCAAAGCTGATGGTTCCATAGATAAGTATAAAGCATGACTTATTGCTAAAGGGTTTAAACAAAGAGAGGGTCTTGACTATTTTAATACTTATTCACCTGTAACAAGAATAACATCCATTAGGATGTTGATTTATATAGCTTCGCTATACAATTTGCAGGTATATCAAATGGATATGAAAACTGCATTCTTGAATGGTGATCTCAATGAGGAGATTTCTATGGAACAACTTGAAAGATTCACGGTCAAAGGACAAGAACACAACTGTGTAAACTTATCAAATCATTATATGGACTTAAACAAGCTCTTAAACAATGGCATGAGAAGTTTGACCGTGTGATGATCCCAAATGAATATAGAATCAATTATTGTGATAAATGTGTATACAATAAATCCACAACCGTCGGATGTATACTTATTTGTCTATATGTTGATGACTTATTGATTTTTTGAGATAACACTGAGGTTATCAAAATCAATTGAAAAAGTAATTGAGAGATTTAAAGAGTTCGGCATTAAAGATGTGAATAATCATTTTCTTCTACACTTAACTTTAAGAAAGAATATTGGAAACAGTATCGAGCAGCAGGAGTACTCTTAAGTGATCGGCAACATCATGTACATCATGAAGTGCACTAGACCGGATATTGCGCAATCAGTAAAAAAATTGAGCTGGTATACAAGTAATACTGGTCATGAGCATTGAAATGCTCTTTTAAGAGAATGTATCTTTGATTAGGATTCCGTTTGTTTCGCAAAAAATGAATGATTTAAAAAATATTTTCCTAAAAATGATTGCTTACGTCGTTTAAAAAAATGAACGAACTAAAAATATTTTCACTGCTTACGAAAAATATTTAGACGTGAATTGTTGTAGATAATAAAAATACTTTTTATTGACTAATTATTTCGAGTGATATAAGCAATCATTTCTAGAAAAATATTCGTCAAATTATTGATTGCTGAATGAAAGAGGGACTCAGCAAAGGTTGAACGGGGATTCTCATGGATTGGCGAGTAAAAGCATAGGAAAGAACGAAAAAAGAAATGTTAATCCCATTGCAACTCGTCCCGTAGTAAGTACAATGTGCAATCACTTAGGCCTTGCTTCTTTCACCTTGGAGTTAAAAAACACGAAATGGAATCCCATTGCAACTCATCTTCGGATGGATTTATGATCGCAGAATCAAAGTGCCTAGGTAATGTATTCTCCTAAAAATGCAGGATTGGATTGCTGAGGTAGAGGTGGTACTGAGATTCCTAGAAAAGAAAAAATATTCGTGAACCCAACCCACTCATTTGTCTGAGCTTTATCGTCTTCAAATCCTTCAAAGCCATAACACTCTCTCTCTCTCTCTCCGCTCATCATCTTCACATCCTTCCCACGTGAGTTTTGCCTGACTCTTGCTTCCATAGCCCTCACATTCCTCTACTAGGCGAAATTATTTCTCTCTCTCTCGCCACTGTGAAACTTGTTAGGTTTTTTTCTATGGAGACGTCAGCTACGAGCATCACGTTGGCTTGGGCGGGGGGGGCATAAAGTCCCATTTACGAACTCGGCTGAGTTGCTGTCACTCCATTTGTTCTCGCGATTGAGTCTTTGACTCAAAACACACGGAGGATAAGAATATCACAATGGCCTGTGGTAACTGCTGTGTCGTAGTTTGAAGTTAGATGGGAATGGCTTCATCGTCATCGCTGCAGATTTTGCGTGAAATGCTTGACTCACGAGATTTTGAGGAGCTGTATGTAACGTGCTTGTGAAATGCTCGTGTGAACTGTATGATCATTTATTAGAGGACAGTAATCGGGGGATCTTATGCGGTTCTTCATTCTGTTTCTATCCCTAGTTTTTTTCCGTTATCCACTTTGTACACGTGGATTGGAGAAATATTTCACGCGTTCCATTTCTGACATGTTTTAACCTCATTTTGCAACTCAAATTGGACATTTCTCCCTTCATTCGTAAATTGAGACCAAACGATAGAAAATGAACCCCGCTCCTAGAAATTTGATTGCTTAGATTGGGGTTTCTTTTCATGATTTCATGGCCATGATCCAGAGATGGCCTTAAGTGTTTTGAGGTGTCAGCGTGGTTAATCCTCCCATACTTTATATAACCTTGATTTGCTATCTTCTTGGTGATCTGTGCATTCTAATTTGGTAGGATGAAACATGACTGATCCTTTTCCTTCTTCAGTCCAGTAAAATGTCAGTAGCAAAAAAAGGAGAAAATTATCTAAAGTCTTAAGCTTATTACATTTTTGTCAATTCAATCATAAACCTTTTAATTATGGCAATTGAATCATCCGGTAAATTTTGGCCGAAAATCACTGACGTGAACGCCGGACGTCCTACGTGGCACGACTGGCGCTAATGTGTATATTTTTTAATATTTTGAATTTTATTTTGAATTTTGAATTTTTTCTTTTCTTTTCTGTCTTTTTCTTTTTCCTTCTTCCTTTGCCGATTACCGGGCCTTGGCGGTGGTCAACAATTGGCCAAAGGCAACTACTGGCAAGGTCACCCTCGTTGGCCTTGCCAGCTTCGAGTGAGGCTCGACCTCGCCGGATTTGGCGAGGGCCAACATCAAGCGAGGCTCACCCTCAACAAATCCGCCGACCAAAGCTGGCGAGGCTCGACCTTGTTGGATTTGGGCAAGGTCCAGTCGTGATGGCCTTGCTGCAATCTAAGCGAGGTCAGGCGAGGGCCACGATCCTCGTTCACGGCCAGTGAGGGCTTGGCTGCCCTCATCCAGTAGCCGGCGATGGGCCGCCACCAACCACAATATAAGAAAAGAAAAAAAGAATAAAGAATAAATAAATAATTTAGAAAAATACTATAAAAAAAAGTGTCCACGTTAGCGTCGGCCGTGCCACGTAAGATGGCCGGCATTCACGCCAGTGATTTTTGGCCAAAATTGGCCGGATGGACTCAATTGGCAAAATGTGAAGATTTAGGACTCAATCGGCAAAATTTAAAAATTTATGGTCGAATTGACAAAAATGTAATAGGTTTTAGACTTATTAGACAATTTTCCCAAAAAAAATCCCAAAATATGTCAAATTTTTTTTGGGTCTGTCAAAATATGCCCAATTGAAGGCCACTTCTGTGGGGAATTTGTCTTCTCTCTAAAACTTCCAAGGTTAAAAATGAATTTGGACATCGCTCATCCCAATTGAACTCTTCTTTCTGTCGTATCTGAACATCATCAATTCTTTAGAAGCTGACATAATCTTTCCGTTCTGTGTTTTCCCTATCTTAAATGGTAACTTTTTGTTGCTAGTCTTCTATGTGTTTTGCTCATCATGTTTCCCCGAAGGCGGTCAGTATCCCATCTGAGTTAAGTATAATTAAACGAACATTTATGGTTGTTCTTGCTCTTTCCTCAACCCATGCGATCTCGATTTCATACTTGATTTTTGGGAAATATCCCAATGTTCCTTATTACATGTATACTACGAGAATCGTAATTGCCAAATCTGAAAACTTTCTGGACCCTTCCAACACCAAACGGGGCCGATGTTTGGATCTCCAAATTCAGCCATAGTAGACACGATGCAACACAAATTCAGAATGGTAATTGCTGAAAATAAGCAGCAACAAAAAGGGACCTCAACAGAAAAGATGTGTAACTTATCAGAAGAGAAATCAATAATGACGGAAACGATACATAGTTATTGTGTACGGTTGAACCAGCACATCTGAACTTCAGAACAAACTGATAGTCTGAAGCATATGACGCAGAAATTTTCCATCTTTTCACCGCCCTTAGTATTCAGTAGCCTTAGAACTTTAGGACTTGCTTAGGATGGCTTCCGAGTTTCCCGAGTGATTTATCCAGTGCAATGTGGAAATCGCTAAAAGGAACCAGCTCCGTCCTGCAGTTTTGAGGAAATTCATACGCATCCACAATCCAAACACACTATCTTGAAGATAAATACTATCGAAAATAACTTAACAGATATGGAGACCGAAATACAGTCATTTGAATAAATAGTGGTGACCAAGGACATACTCGTATTTTAACTTCCCATTACGCACTAGTTCCAGCAAGTGATCTATCATTCTTCTGCACTCTGTTATATCATTTGAACTTAACCATTTATGCAGCCAAAATCCCCTCAACGAAAGATCCTGCAAACCATAACAACCATCATCCGTGTACCATGATTTAGGAAGTAACTCCAGAAGTCGGCAGTACTGGCTGTACAATTGAACTGTCGCATGAGATATCAGAGTGAAATCGAGAAGGAGACAATAGAAGAACCATTGTTTCTATGCCTTCTTCTTTGCTCTTTATCTTTTACTAAAATGCCTTCTACGGGTACAAATTTCTCTATCAATGTTCAGCACCTACTGCATGCTTAAAGATGCCTGAGCTATGCCACAATTACTACTTTTGATTAAGGGATCAAGTGACATTGATTCTTTGGCCCTAAGAAATTCATGTGAATAATCTCTCGATTACATGCGCGTGATTTTCTCAACGATCCATAGTTTGCTTCATCTCTGGCAAATGAACTACAAAAAGGAGTACAAATAATTTGTCTTAACAGGTAATTACATTTCCCCCCCGGTTCTCATGGTTGGCCATATACTTCGAATTTGGTTGCGTCAAATATTGAAATTGAGATTTTGGGCCAAATTTATACCAAAAACAATAATATAGGGGGTTGACTGAGACCGAGACCGAAAAATAGACAAGTCAAATTGTAACGCTTGACTAAAATAACCTCATAACCATAGGCAGAAAATTTAGTTCGCTGCTTCTAAATTTACCTTGAAGATAAAAGATGAAGTTGACACTGTAATTGGCTTCTTAGACATCCCACCATATGTCACCATGGTTCCTCCCTGCCTGAGAACAAAACAAAATCAGCTCTCTTCAGAGAGATAAAGGAAGCACTCCACACAAATTTAACACTTGTTGTACCTCAAAAATTTCATCACCAAGGAAGCAGCATTGCCACCAACACAGTTTAATCCAAGGGCAGGTTCTTTTAGATCACCCTAGTAGCAAGTCAATAAGATGTAAATAACAAACTCAAGTGCCAATGGCCAAACATGGATGTGTGTCAATGCATGAGGATATGGTAGAATGGGTTAATGGATGGATGATACCAGTAGACTCTTGACATTCTTTACTTCTAATTGGCTCTCAGTGAACACTTCGTCGGCACCAAGTTTCTTCAATGTCTCTTTTGCTTCATCAGAGCCAGCTCTGTCACAGGAAAAAGACGGTCATCAAGGCACAGTAAAACCAAAATTTAGTCACTCATAAGCAGTGCCAACTGCTAAGTCAGAAAAGAAATTAGGAATTCTACCAAATTCGTCCTCAGATGTCATAGCAGAAAGTAATGAGCTGGCTGATGAGAGCCTTATCAAATTAATGTGTCAAGCACCACAAAGTGTTTTCTGACCTCTTTTGTGTCTCATCACAGAACCAAAAAAACGGAGGAAATTTTCACTCCAAAGGAAGTTGCAAAGCGCAGAGATATCTTAGATATACTAAAAGGGAGTTTCCACCAGGAACCAAAAAAGATGAATGACCAATGCCCCAGCAGAATGATGATCTAATTGTACAAGCAATCAACATCTAAAACACATGATGACTGCAAAAATAGTAGAAGCAGCATCAACAGTAACAAGTCACTTCTGATAAGCAACGTAGAAACATATCTTTTCACTTCATCACTACAATTAACTGCCTTTGCTCAAGATCCACTTCTCCCTGTTATGCGATGCAAGAGTTCTCAATCAATCACACCACCTTCCAAAAAACAAACCTAAGATACCAGAATGCTAAATATTTTGGCGCATTTTCAATTTGGAAAATGATATACCATTGCCACAACCAAACATAATCAACATATTCGTGTATCTGGCAATTGTTCATAATTTTTAGTCCATCAGCAACGTTCATAATTAGAACAGGAAAAGACAGAGTTGCCACAAGTAAATCAGTCCCCAAAGAGTTCCAACTTGTCATCACAGAGCTTGAATTTCAGATATAATTTGGGCTGTGTAACCATCAAAAGCTACTTTAGATGCTGAGTAGACAAGAGCTCTATGCGTTCCAGAAATAGGAAAAAAAATGCTTGCTAGCAATGGTTAAGGCAGATCACTGAAATAAAAGCAAACCCACACATACCCTGCTATCCACATCCAAAGTCTACACAAAAGTTTTAAACAACAATAGTTTGACAAAAATTATATGGAGTCAAGGTTGCTGAAAGCTTTTAAAAGAGCACCTGTCCCTGATTATGTTGATACTACGAATGCTGCGGGATTTCGCAATTTGGATGACGCACCGACCCACCATACTTGTAGCCCCATTTTGCACAATAGAATCCCCTAATGATCAGAGCCGATTAGGATAACTCAGAATAATTTGCTTATGGTGAAAGTTGAGGGACAGCTAAGAGACTCCATACTGTCTATATACCTGGTTCCAAAGAGGTGAAGTCTTCGAGCATTCTCAAAGCGGTCGGAGGATTAATTGAAATTGTTGAGGCATATTCAATAGGAGAATCCTTATCAATTTTTTGCCACACACTCCGATCCTTCACGATGTAAGTCTGCCATGTCCCTAAGCACAAAAACTATTTCACCTTTCAACACACTCAAATTTAGAATGGGCTACTACCGTGCTAGACACGGATGTTCAGCATAACAGTACAAGTCAGTACTTATGGAATGCAAAAGTATCTTTAATTTAAGATGACAAACACTAAGATGGGTATAATAGTTTCAATTTTCTTTTTATTGATATTTCACTCGTTTCTCTTCTGCATCTAATTAAATTGTTGCTAGGTTGAAAAATGTTAAACATACTGCAGCAAATATAGAAGATAATCCTTTGGCTGGATAAGAAACTGTTTAGGACTGATAAGGCTGGTGATCTATTAATCTGATATCATTTTAAGACTTAGGTAATAATGAAAGAATGTTTTACCAAAAGAGAGTGGAGATGGAATGACCCAATCGCCAGGAGAAAGATCCTTCACTGCAGAGCCAACTAAGTGTACTTTGCCAACTCCTTCGCGTCCTCCGACAGCAGGCACTTGTGGCCTCACCGGATACACACCTAAATCAAAGTTTATGCATGAATTACCCAATAAACCTCATACAAAGTAATAAATAGTACATGGAAGAATTATGATCTAACTTTGCAACTACATATCGCTATTCCTCAGAAACTGGAGCAACAATGGTCAAAGTCAAACAGTGAAGCCACAAAAGATGCATCAGCCGCCTCGGAAACTGGCCGTTAGACTTTAATTCTCTTCCAATGTGTCAGCAGCCAAAGAGAAACTCAAGAAAGTCCACCTCACCTGACATATAATCCACTCGTAGATCGAGTCTATGGGTGAATAAGGAGTAAGAAGGCACCGATCGCACATGAGGCATGGATAGGACACTAGTCGCAAATCATTTTAGTTTCTATCGCGAATTCAGGTTGCTCTCTCAGGGTGAAGCGGAAGCGCAAAATTCAAATTTAAGACGCAGAAGCCATCACAGATTCGTCAGTAGCCTAGAAGTCTCCGAAACATGGAACTCCTCCGTAATATGTTCAGTCAACCGTCAATTAGAAGGTCAAGACAGGACGCTAACCTTCGATGCTGTTAATGTCGGAAGGATTGATAGGCGCGGCGAGCATTCGGGCGCACACGTCGTTCTCCTTCACCAAAACCGGCGGAACCTCGACCACTCTGCAACAGAAACATCAAAAAAACCAAAAGGAAAAACGAAGCTCCTCAGTAACGGCAAGAGCACAATGCACGAGCGCACGCAATCGGAATCACGCGCGCTCAATCGGTGATCGGCTGAGCTGCTGTCGGACCTGGTGACGGCGTCCGGGGAGCCTTGCTGCTCGTACACCACCGCCTTGGACGGCGGCGACACGAGGGCGGAGAAGGCCCTGACGAAGCCTAGGGCTCGGGCCGAACGAGGCTGAGCGCCGGAGAGCTTCGGAAGGCGACTGAGCAGGGGCAGGGATTTCGCCAGTGTCCTCGAAGACGCCGTCGCTCTCCCTAACGCCATCGCTCTCCTGCTCGCTATCGCCGATCAACTACCTCCCCCTCTCTCTCTCTCTGTGCTCGCTATGACAGATCAGCTCGCTGGCTCGCTCGCTCGCTGTCTGTACCAGTTCGCGCACCATCGACGAGCTTTTTCAAACAGAGAACGGGAGGAGGAGGAGGATATAAAATTATGAAGTTAAAACATCCTTATCAAATTCTAGAACGGTCCATCTGGCGCGAGGATTCGGTGGAAATTTTCATTAAGCTGAATTTAGATATTCAAACATAGCATTTGCAATAGAATCTCATGCGAATCTCATCGAATTTGATGGTTCATGTTCATTTAGGTACATTGCTACAAATTTAAGCTATTAAATGAATATGTAATTTATTATTTAATTTGGGGAGACAAATGATATCTGGAAAAATTTGAATTCGGGATCTTTCAGCTCTGATATCATGTACTGTTCTGAAAGCAAGTGACTTTTCAATCTCCTAGAGTTCTTATCGTCATTCCCTTGAGATAACTTGACTTGCTCATGGAGATCGCTCAATGTTTAGGACAAATGCATACATATTTTCCAAAATTTTCCAAATCGATTCAATTTAATCTTTTGATTTTTTGAAATTTTTTTGTTGGTTGAGTCCTTTTTTTTGTTAGAAAATAATCAAGTCCTTTAGTTACATGTTGGGTTAATTCCCTAAAAAAACTCCTAATTTTAGGTCTAATCTTAATTTTGTCCCGAACTTTTTTGTCTCAGAAAAATCTCCAAAGTTCAGGTCCAGTCCCAAATTTGCCTAAAACTTGATTTTGTTTAAAAAAAATCCAACTATATGTCCAATCCCAAATTTCAGGCAAACTTTTTTTTTGTCTAAGAGAAAAATCACCAATTTTTACTCTAATTCCAAATATGCTCTCAATTGCCCTCTGTCCAAAAATGGTCGTTAGTTATCCCTAATTTTTATATCCTACAACGGTTTCATTTTTTAGATAATTTTTCCATGTTACATTGCCGATGTGGATTTGTTATCGATGTGAAAATTCCATATTAAATTGGGACTAAACCACGGGATATATTTGAGAATAGATTGAAAGTAGGTGATTTATTTTAGACAAACAAAATTCGAGGCAGATTTGGGACTGTACCTAAAATTTGCGTTTTTTTTTTCAGATAAAAAAAAGTTTGAGACGGATTTGAGACTATACCTAAAATTGAGAATATTTTAGGGAATTAAGACGGTTACATGTTCATGATCTCCTTTGGTTACATATTTTCCGAAAGTCAAATGAGCCTAGACGAGCGAATCCCTTTAGGGTGTATTTGATAACTTGCAAAATGGTGACTGATTATACTCTTTTGTTCCTGGAAACAAAAAAAAAAAACAGAAATCCATTTGGTAAATTTTTTGTTCCCGGGTATAAATTTGTTCCCAGAATCAATTTTGGAACAGAATCAAGAAGCAAAAAAGGGAACAAGAATCAGAAATAGAAGAGAAATTTTTTTTTCCTTTTTCTTCTTTCCTTCTTGATTGTGGCCGGTTCTTCTTCTTTCCTGACCGGCCAGGGCCCCTACGCCCTCGCCGGCCCTGGCTTGTGGCTGGTCGCGGGCCAACCGTCCATGGCCAGCAACCCAACCACTGCCAAGAAGGAGAAGAAGAAAAAAAGAAAAGAAAAAAAAAGAAATATTAAAAAATTCAAAAATATTATTGAAAATATATTACTAATAAAAAGAAATCTTGTGCAGTTACCAAACGCATTTCTGTTATTTTTCTATTCCAGGAATGGAAATTTTGGGCTGTTACAAAAAATATTCAAATGCTTATAAATTGTTTCGGGAAACAGAATAAAAAAAATCATTTCTGAGTAGAAATTATTTTCGAAAACAAAATGGTTACCAAACGCACCCTCAGAATCCAGCTCAGCAAACCAACTACCAAGTACCTGCCCACTCCCCAAATTTACCGATATTTTTATCATATGTTGTTAGACGGAAAAAAAATAAAAAATATAAATAAAAATAAAAACAAAGTCAACGACCGCCCGAGTCAGCATTCTCGGGGGAGCCCAAGGCCTCCTTTCGGCCCGTGAACCAGGCCCGGCCCACAATTGATCCGACGGACAGACGCGAATTGGAACATCCATCCCCCGTGGAGCGCAAAATCGATCGCCCACTTCCTACAGTTGGCGAGGCCGAAAAGCCAATGATGACAATATACACCACGTGTCAATCATAGTGCAATCAACCACGGAAATTTGAAAGTAAAAAACGATGTTGAGGAAACTGCTGGGAAAGCCGTACCATGATTTGATTTGTCATTATAATAGCCGCATATATAAAAAAAAGATGCCTAACTGTGACTCTCGAAGTATCGAAACCTTTAACCAAAAAAATATATATATATATCGAAACCTTCGAGTGTACTGTTTGGGAAAAGATCATGAGTAGTGGTGAAAAACTCATGGCCACGATTGTAACGAGTTCACCCCCCCTTGAGCTAAACGTCATATGCCAACTTTTTTCTTTCGATTTAGATATATAAAAATCGATTTTGCAGTCTAAATTCAAATGTTGTAAGATCATCTGAAAACATAGAATGTACGCAATAAAATTTTACAACAACCTCCATGCATCAACTTCTCTTGTTGGATGATGCGATTGAAATCAATGAAATCAAATCTCATTGTGCCGCACAACTAATTCTTTTTCTTTTTTTTTTTCGATTTCTTCCCTTTGATGTAACAATGGAGAGAAGACATTACAAGAATAAATCGAAAATATTACCCGACTATTTTGCGCTATACTTTAAAGGAAAATTGTTTGCATACCCGTGCAATGTTTTTTTTTTTTTTTTTTTTTTTGATAACCCAGGGAACCCCCGCACGGCCGACAGCCCGGAGGTAAACCCTGGGGGCGACACGTGCTAGCCACCACACACGTGCACCAGTTAAGTCACCATGCGGCACCCGGGATTCGAACACTCAACCTTTTGCGAGAGGAAGAGTGCGCGTTCCAGCAGCGCCACCCAGGCGGGTGGTATACCCGTGCAATGTTCGTCTTGAGTAAAAACTCAAACTCTAAGCTTTTTGGTAAATGTGTCAAAACCCAACCGAAAACTAAAATCGAACTGAATTCAAATTGAAAATTCGTGCATTTTCTGATAGGTTTGAATTTCGGTTCGGATAATGTGTAAGAAAATTCGGTTAGTTGATAATTTGGTTTGGTTCGAATCGGTTCGGATTGGATCGGATTTCGATTTCCTTTTGTTTTTTCTTCCCTTCACGTAGACTCTCTCTCCTCACTCTTCTGAACCGCAACTCTCGCCCTTTTCTCTCTCTTCCTTCTTCGCAACTCTCCTCTGACTCACTTTTCTATCTCTCTCTCTCTCTGCACCTCGTTCTGATAGCGATGCCACAGACCATCTCCCTCTCCCTCTGCGAACATTCAGCATCCAAGGAGAGAGAAAGAGCAAAAGGCACTGTTTCTCTCTCTACACCTCCTGTGCTCGGCTGGGTGGGACTCTGCACTCTCTCTCTCTCTCTCTAAACCTGCAAAAAGCTTTGCTTTTTTCGCTCTCTTATGCTGCAGCAGCTTTCTTGGTTTCGCCCCCATCGCTTCACATGATCCCTCCTTTTTCTTCCCCCCATGTCTCTACAATTTCTCTCCTCAAACCCTTTAACTTGAAGAAGAAGATGGATGGTTGGGTTGGTCGGGAGGTTCAACGAGTGGTTGAGCGAGTGAGGGAAGAGGAAGTGCAGGAGAGCCAGAGCTGCGATGAAGAAGAAGAAGAAGAAGAAGAAGAAGAAGAAGAGGAGCGGTGGCAGCAGCGTTGGCAAGCCGCATTGGACTTCTGGGCCACCGCCGCCTCCTTGTACTCGGGGAAGCTCGCGGCTGCGGCGGGGGGTGACGGCGAGCTCGGCGACGATGTGGCCATGTGGCCGGGCTGGGTCGGGAAGGGTAGGGTGCGAAGAGAAGAAGAAAACCGAACTGAACTGCGTTTTCAGTTCAGATCATATCCGGTTCGTGTCGCCTTGCGGTTCGAAGCAAGCACACATCCAAACGGTTCAATTTGGTTCGAATTTTTTAAAAATCCGAACCAAACTAAATCATTAACAACCCTACCAGTTGACCCCCTAAAAAATGGGTCAACTTTGATGTCAAAGAGTTAAAGATAATAAGAATTGATGCCATTCACCATACATCAATTGTGGCTTTGAATATGACATTAACTCGGGTCAATTTTAATGAGAAAGTGTTAAGACCATTGAGACAAGGAGGAATATCTCAAGTCGGATTATAGTGATAAAGCATAGTCATCAACTAAATAAAGGTAAGTCCGATTATGAATATTGACTAATTAATAGAACATGATGGGAATCATTAAGGAAGGGGTAAACAATATATTGACCAACACAAGTGATTTGATATAGACTATGTAAAGAATCGGCAGTCAAACACCAACATTGATTATGAGAAGCCAATAGAATTAGGTCGACAATGGGGGAACTGTCTTCGTCCATTGACTGAGATCTGAGTCGACGGCATTCAAGTCAATGTCATTCATGGCGAGCAGCATTGACGTCGATTCACGAAGTTTGGCTGAAATCAAATCGACTATGAAGGATAAAAATAGGGGGAATAGCTAATTATAGTCGACGTCTTAGGCGAGTGCAATTACCAAAGGTATTGTTTGACAGTTGTAGCCATACGGTTATTGCAGTTGAGTCAACTAGTTATTACGGTCGAGTTTCCTGAGGTGAGAACAATTATACAATCAAATATGCAGTCGAAATTTGATTTCAATGAGGGGGCACAATTATAACTACAGGGCAACCATCCATGGACTATTAAAGGAGCACATCTTAAGAATAAAAGGATGCATTCAAAGAACAGGATTTACTTCTCTCAATGCACTTTACTCAGAATTTATTTGGAGTCATTTTCCAGTAGTTTATTTTTAATCATTCGAGTTGTTTATTTCATTTTGTCTATCAAACACTTGCTCTTCTTCTTTATGAAAGATTTGTGTTACCGTTAATGAATTCATTTTTATTAGTTTTAGAACCCAATCATCAAGTTCTTTGTCCCTTTTTTAGTACACAATCATTCATCAATTGGAAGCACAAGGATTACGATGTTTGATTAGGACACTGATCAATCGAAATATGATAATTTTTACTGTGTAGTTGACGATATGAAGAGAATGATTTTCAAAAAAATATTTACATTGATTGATATAAATAAAAAATTCCTGGCAAATAATAAGTTATTATAGTTATAAGTCATGACTGTGAAAGTAACAAATAATATAGGCAACAACATAAAGTTTTGTATCCCAATTTTGATGTATAATTTTGATATGTTTTAGTCTATATTAAGAAATGGTATAAAGATTAGATCCAACCGACCTTATAAAACCTCCAACCCGTTCCATCTCTCCCCATTCTCTCTCTCTCTCTCTCTCTCTCTCTCTCTCTCTCTCTCTCTCTCTCTCTCTCTCTCTCTCTCTCTCTCTCTCTCTCTCTCTCTCTCTCGTTAGTCTATATTGAGAAATGGTATAAAGATTAGATCCAACCTACCTTATAAAATCTCCAACCTATTGCATCTCTCCCCACTCTCTCTCTCTCTCTCTCTCTCTCCATCACATGTTCATGGAAGACGTGTGGGTGTACATCATCTCAGCATCCTCCTTCCTCTTCCTTCTCTGCTTGTTCAAATTGCAGAGAAGCAACAAGAGGAATCTCCCACCGAGCCCACCTTCACTCCCTATCATCGGCCACCTCCTCCTTATAAAAGAGCCAGTCCACCGGACCATCCAGTCTCTCTCAGACCGCTACGGCCCTGTCCTTTCCCTCTCTTTCGGCTCCCGCTCCGTGGTCGTCGTATCCTCCCCGTCCACGGCCGAGGAGTGCTTTACCAGGAATGACATCGTCCTCGCCAACCGCCCTCGCACACTCTCCGGCGAGATTATAGCCTACGGCAACACCACCATCGGCAGCGCCCCTTATGGCCCCCATTGGCGCAACCTCCGCCGCCTCACGGCCCTTAAAATCCTTTCCCCGCATCGCCTTGCGGGCTCCCTCGCCGTCCGGCTGGAGGAAGTGAGGCTCCTCGTGAAGAACCTCTATGAGATGGCTACGGAGGTGGCAGGGGGCAGCAGTTTCGCAAAGGTGGAGATGAGGTCGAGGCTGCAGGAGCTGTCCTTCAACATCATCATGAGGATGATCTCTGGGAAGCGCTACTTTGGGGCCGCCGTCGACGCGGGCGACACCGAGGTGGCCAGACAGTTCAGGGAGGTGATAAGGGAGGTATTCGAGTTGAGCGGGACAGACCCGGGCGATTTCTTGCCGGCGCTAAGGAAGGTGGTGGACTTCAAGGGGAGAGAACGGAGGATGGTGGACGTCGCCAAGAGGTCCGATAGGATCTTGCAGGGCATGATAGATGAGGTCAGGTCGAGAAGGAAGAGAAGTGAGAGCAGCAAAAGGGTGGAGAGCAAGACGATGATTGATTCCATGCTGTTGGAGGGCTATTCGGACGACATCATCAAAGGCCAAATCCTGGTATGTGTATATGTCATGTTCTGTTCACTTGACCTATGCATGTTTCTGAGTTTGTGAGACTAGTCTTTAGGGGCTCACAAAAGAAAAATGCTAATGTAGCTGTCCTTAATTTATTGTAAAAATACCAGTGGTAAGAACATATTGACCTTCTTTCTGTAAAGAAGGGAAACGAGAGATGAGGGAGCAAGTGGACAAAAATATGACCTACTTCTTCCCAAACAAAGCATTTTCTATGACCCTTAGGTTTGAATGATAGGTTTGAAATGATGGTTTAGAATCTCCTAATACATTTACCTAAATGGATCTAGACTGTTAAAAACGGCATCTCTTTTTAGGATATTACAAATCTAATAATGATCTATATTAATTTAAAACTGTTTATGGTATATCCTGTAAAAGATCTAATTTTTCTTTTCTACTATAAGTATTTGGTCTTATTTTTCTTAGTCATTATTGAATGATTTTGGTGCATGTGAGCGCAATGTATATGCACCATTGGATTATATGGTCTCATGTGGAGCCCTTTTCATCCACTGATTCATATGAATTGGGCTCACATCCAAGGACTTACATGCACCGAGATCATGCCATAACTTTCTTCCATAGTGGCCACTCTTTTAGATTGTTGTATATTAAAATCGAGAAAGAAGAGAGAGGATAAAATGAAATTACACAAGTTGATCAATCTTCTGTCATGTGTGTGGTAAATGATTTAGGTCAAGTTCTATTTTTTTTTCTTGAATTTACTCATGTTTTTCAACTCCGATCGATTCGAGCTGAGTACCCATCTGAACCATGCATGAAGCAGATAAATTGTGCACTTATACATGAACATGACCATAAGAGTGGCCAATTATTGATATTGACTTAAACTGAAGATTTTCCTTTGCATTTTACTCTTTACGTCTGAACCTAATTGTTCTTCAATTTCGAAAAAAAGTTTCATCTCTCTTTGAAACCAATGAGCATACTTAGCAAATTACTTAACCACAATTTGCATCAGACGATGTTAGCTGCGGGCACGGACACATCCTCGGTGACAATAGAATGGGCCATGTCCCTCCTACTCAACCATCCGGACGTCTTGAAAAAAGCTCAAGCAGAACTAGACGGCGTCGTTGGCCGAGACCATCTAGCTTACGAAGCAGACATCTACAAGCTGCCTTGCCTTCAAAACATCATCAACGAAGCACTCCGATTGTTTCCGCCAGTGCCACTCCTAGTGCCTCACGAGTCCTCTGAGGACTGCACGATCAGAGGGTTCGACGTGCCCAGAGGCACCATGATCTTAGTAAATGCGTGGGCAATTCAGAGAGACCCAAAAGTGTGGGACGATCCAACAAGTTTTAAACCAGAAAGATATGAGGGATTGGAAGGGGATCATGCGTACCGGTTGTTGCCGTTTGGCATGGGGAGGAGGAGTTGTCCCGGTGCTGGCCTTGCCAATAGAGTGGTGGGTTTGGCTCTAGCGGCGCTTATTCAATGCTTCGAGTGGGAACGAGTCGGCGAAGAGCTGATGGACTTGTCGGAAGGGACGGGACTCACAATGCCCAAGAGACAACCATTGGAGGCTATGTGTAAAGCGCGTGAATGCATGATTGCTAATGTTCTTGCACAGCTTTGAGAGGTCGTTCTCCAGTGAATTTTATTTTGGTCGTGTTCAACCATCGCAATACTTATGGACTACTATGTCATAACAAAGTAAGTCGATGTGAATGAAATGAGGTGGAAATGAATGGAGGGGAAAAAAACAGAAAGTAGAGAGGAATGGAATAAGAATTCTAGTTCTTGCGTCTAATGATAATGTATTAAAGGAAAAAAAAAAGAAGACGGGATGTATAATGTATTAATGAAATGCCCATTCATATGGGCTTTCATTAGGTCTTTGAACGGTCTAAGAATACTTGGACGATTATTATTGTAAGATGATATGTATGTTTGAAGAAAGGACCTGCCATTAACTAAAGTTGCAATATGATTGTCATCTCCTTGTTATACTCTGGATTTCGAGGTTTGATTGGCATCTCCTTTGGACATGATATGAGTCCCCAGAAATATCCAAGGTCATGGGGTTATTGTGTAAGTACAAAGATTTGGTAGTTCCAGAGAAAAACACATTGGTATGAGAGAGAGAGAGAGAGAGAGAGAGAGAGAGAGAGAGAGAGAGAGAGAGAGAGAGAGAGAGAGAGATCCTTGGTATACTCTAAATTTTGAGGCCATCAAAGAAAGAGATGGATTTACAATTGTTGTCGTTGTGATGGCAACACGAGCATGACCGACCGAGCATGACCGAGCTGAGAGAGAGAGAGAGAGAGAGAGAGAGAGAGAGAGAGAGAGAGCAATGTTTGGTAGTGATGTCGACCATAGTGGCCGATAGCAATGTTAGGTAGTGATGTCGACCATAGTGGCCGATGGCAATAGGTGGTGGCTACTAGTGGTGGTGGACGGTGGCTCTGCATAGGACCTAGAATGGGTGATCTAATTTTATGTGTTTGCATGGTTAACATCTCGCAATATTTACTTGAAGTGAGTTACCCATACTTGATAGTTTGAGTCGAACTGTTATAATCGGTACATATCCTGCTCCTTGGTGAAGTAATTGCTGCTGCTAGTTTCTTGGTGTCTCCTCATAGGTTTCTTTGCCAAGTGCGACTTCCTTTTTTATCTTCTTCGTTAATAATTTCACTAAAGATGGAAAGCTTTTCTTGGAAACATCTCCTTCAGCTCTATCTTTCCTAACTTGCCATAACCCCCGCTTTCGCTTTCACATGGTGGATCGGTCTCAATAATCGCTTTAGGAAATTCTTGAAGCTTTCTTGGTCTCCCAATGAGAACTAGTTGCGTTCTGGAGAGAGTTCTTTAAACTGGGCTTTGTTTGGTTGGTTGCCTTCACTGTGCCGGCTCTGAAAATGAAGGTATTCGCACAGGTGGCTTGTCCTTTGGGGGTTCTTTCTCTCTGCTTTTGCTGGTGTTAGCCGTGACGATATAAAAAAGAAATGGACGCTCACGAAAGAGAACACTGTAGGCTCAACATAACAATACAACCGTATTTCCTCAGCACAAAGGTGGGTTAACATAAAGGAAGCAAGAAAAATCCTAACCGTTATTGAAGGATTTGGAGGAGGTTTTCAATGAACGAAACTAATCAACTCGTAACCCTCGTCTCACGAGGGCGAAAGAGGAAATGAAAAAAGAAATGAAAAAAAGAGGAAAAATTATAAAAAAAAATCAAAAAATCATAAAAAAATATCCACGTTAGCGTTTCTAGCTTAAATTGGCCTGATGGACTGAATTAGTACAAATATGAAAAGATTTAGGACTAAACTGGTCCAATTCAAAAGTTTAGGACTGAATCGATATTAATGCAATAGATTTAAGACCTTTTTTCGATACTTTTTCCGCTATTTATCATTCTTGCAATGTCCGGATTGAAAGATTACTGTTAAACACGGAACCGGTCAACCTCCAAGACATCACGAAAGGCAACAATATTCAGCTTTGAATCGTTTTTTTTAAGATTAAAATCAGATATTTGCTTTAATTCAAATTTTCCGTTGTCAACACGATCAAGCCGTTTCGGAGGTAACCACCGGAAAGAGTTCACCGCGAGTCTAGCTCAGTTGTTAAAACTCAAAACTTCCCCCCGCAAGCGCGTTCGGTCAAAAGAAATTTTCTTTTTTTAACGGTCGAAGTTCGGTCAAAGAATCGAACGGCAAAATAATCAGGAGAAACAAAAAAAAAAAATATGAAACGGCAATTTTCCCGGGACCCGATCACCTGCTTCGCAAGTCCATCGAGCGGCTCGCCAACATCCCCCGGCCCCTTCGTTGATGCCGTGCTTTGCTCAATTTGTTAACCGAAACGCGGGTCGTTTAGCGGGCGACAGCGACGAGCCTTCGGTTTTCAAAATCGAACGGCGGGCGATTGATCTCCAGCGCGTTCCGTCACTGGCGGGGAGGAGCAAAGCAGGGAGACCGTAAGCCCCTCGCGGGGACAAAGATCCGGTGCCCACAATCTCGCGGGAGGAAATTGACGGAGCAATCACCGCGCGCCACGTCACCGAGGCTCGTTGATGGGGGGACGCGGGCATGACGTGGCTCGGCCTCAGTGGCCCCTGGACGAGGTAATCCTGTTTCCGCGCAACACCCCGAGAAAACCCCATTATAAGTAAATCAGCAACGTACGAACGAACACAGAAACCACGGGGCCAGCCCGAAATCTTCTTCAACTCTTTCTGTCCCTGTCTCTCTGTTCATACCTGGTTTTTGTTTGTTCTGTTCCGATTTCGCTGATGGGTTGTTTTCGCTGCAACGGGACATCGGTTCTAGAGGAAAATGCCGACGACAATTTCAAGAAGGCGAACGATCGAGCTCGTTCAGGTATCGTTCTCTCGTTTCCGGCGACGATCTCCATTTTGTTTTCCGCCGGCATTGACGTGTCTCGGCGATCCTTCTGCTCTGCGTCGACCGCTGTCCGAGTTTTTCCAAGTTTTCCGTTTCGATTTTTTTCCCATTACGAACTTCCCCTTCGTGGGCTCGGCGTTGTTTTTGATCAGTGATTCGGTGTTTCGTTTTTGATTGTTGTCGAGCTGTGTTGTTGTCGATAGATCAAGAAATGGCCTTTTCCGGGTCCGGATAGCGATCGATCGTCCTGCTAAACCTAAGGTCGTCGGATGCTACATTCACACCCGAATTTGGCTGAATTTTATTCATTGGAATCTCCATTTCCCAGCTTCTTCACTAAGTGCTTACTGCTTGTTGTGCTTACAAAGCAATCTCGTAGCGATCTCCTTCTTTTGGGAATTGTAGAAATTGTAATTGATCTTTTATCGTGCTGCATTTTGTCCTTTAATCGCTCACCGTACCTCAGTACTTGAATATCTCCAGCATGAGTTTTGCTGAGAAACAGTCCATGAGTTTTTCGTCTAGTACTCTGTAGTTTGCTTCTCTGTCTTCTTTTTGGTTTTATCTTCTCGCTTCCCTCCATCCCTCTCTCTCTCTCTCTCTCTGATCTATGCTTGTCTATTGGGTTGGCAGGAAAAACCAAAAGCAGTCCTCATGGAAGCAGAAAGGTTTTGGATGTCCAGAATGAGGACGTCTATGAGAGCCAACAGTTAAATTCAGAGACAGATGGATTGGATTGGAGTGATATCAGCAAGGATGGGAAAACCAGCGGCACACAGGCTCAAACGTTTACTTTCAATGAGCTCGCTGCTGCAACTGGCAATTTTATGTCGGACTGCTTTATTGGGGAAGGAGGCTTTGGCAAAGTATACAAAGGGCAATTGGAGAAAATTAATCAGGTCGGTTCTGAGATTTTATCATGATTTATAGCTGGACAACGGATGATGTCCATGCCGTTTTTTTGTCACATTTGATGGGGTCACTGATCTTATGTTTATCAAGCATCACTTGCAGTATGTTGTTTGACAAAGATTTTGAAGTGTAATACCCCTTTGACTAATGGATGTATTCTGCAAAATGAGAATTTGGTTAACTTAATCTGTTGATGCAGACTGTAGCAATCAAACAACTCGACCGAAATGGACTCCAAGGCACCAAGGAATTTATTGTGGAAGTGGCAATGTTAAGTCTAGTCGACCACCCTAATCTTGTTAAATTGATTGGCTATTGTGCTGAGAGGGATCAGAGGCTATTGGTTTACGAATACATGCCATTAGGATCGTTGGACAAACATTTGCATGGTAAGAGCTTGCACATCACCTGTCTGCTTTCATAAATTTTCCATGATGGGTAACCCGTGCTATCTATCTAAAAAGCTATTTTATTATTTTACGAATAAACTTTTTTTCCAATTTCAATTAATATTTTACAGGCCTTCCACCCAATAGAAAGGGACTTGATTGGAATACGAGGATGAAAATTGCAGCCAGTGCAGCAAGAGGTCTTGAGTATTTGCATGACAAGTTGAAACCTCCTATTATATACCGTGATTTAAAATGCTCGAATATCTTACTGGGCGAGGACTATCATCCTAAATTATCGGATTTTGGCTTAGCTAAAGTGGGTCCGAGTGGGGACAAAACCCATGTTTCTACAAGGGTTATGGGGACATATGGATACTGTGCACCGGACTATGCCATGACAGGCCAATTGACATTTAAGTCAGATATCTACAGCTTTGGGGTTGTTCTTTTGGAGCTCATCACGGGGAGAAAAGCATTTGATTCAACTAAAGATCCCAAGGAGCAAAACCTTGTTGCATGGGTGAGATAACACTGTCCTTAATGTTTTACTTAAACCACGTGGAAAACTTTGCTTTCTGCTGGTGCAATATCGAAAGCTAATTTCCATCCCTAATAGCACAAACGACATACTTCTTATGACTTGACTTCCCTCTCGAACAAGGATATCTACTATGCTCATCGTGTCGATAACGTGCCTTTTCTATTAATTACTTTCCTTGTCTAAATAGAGGTAAGCTTTTGCCGTCAGTAGCCAACTTTGAACCTTCACACTTCCAGAATTTTCACAGTACGTCTTGTCTATACTCAGAGCATCTTCTAAGCACTTAAGGTACTACAGCCCCCGCTTCTTAGTAGCCCCAGTCTGGATATGTGTGCCTGCGGATTTCTTCTTTTGTTCTCATTAATCAGCTAGCCGTGCATCATTTCCGTAATTTCATCTTCACGTCACCCTTTTTCCTCTGGATGTGCACCAGGCCACCATTACAGTAGTCAAAATAAGAAAACGCGGAGTGTTATTTTTGCCTTCTATATGTATGTTTGATTTGTAAAAAAGAATCCAGCAGAGAAGTTGTTTGCTAAAGTTCACTCATTCTAACTTCAGTGACTAAATCTGATTCTTATTGGAAGAAGAAGGTATCATGGTGCTGGCAACAGACTTGTACTATTGGAGATATCTGCATCCTTATGGAACAATCATGGCTTTCCTCAGTTTTCATCTACATTAGTCTGCTCAATGAAGACGGATAAGGCAAGAATACTAATTCGCTATGTTTGCGAATTTTTGCAGGCACGCCCCCTGTTCAGAAACAGGAAGAAGTTCTCACTGATGGCTGACCCAATGCTTGAAGGCGGGTATCCCATGAGAGGATTGTACCAAGCCCTGGCTATTGCTGCAATGTGTGTCCAAGAACAGCCTAATATGCGACCTGCCATAGCTGATGTTGTCACTGCTTTAAGCTACCTTTCGTCCCAGCAACAATCCTCCTCCTTCAAAAATAATTACCAAGAGCAGCGCGGACATAAGCACAGCTCACAGACGGCCCATGGAGGGATGAAGAAGTTGGTGGAAGGCTAGAAAAGAAATGCATATACTTTGGCGATGTCCATATGAGAAAACTACCCGGTTATCGATTTTCGGTTGTGCAGATAACAGGTGGTAACTATATCATAGTTGTTTAATGTTAAGGTTCAAGGGGATTTTTTCCCTTCAGCTTCTCATACAACGTAGATTGAGTCGAGTTCATTGTGTCTAAAGATGCCTCAGTGTAATAACAGGTTCCTATCTTAATTCATTATGACTTCACTCCTATCCTTTTGGTACTTCATCTCCGATTTGCTAAAGGCAGTGGGGCCTTTCAATTGCCTCGGCATGTGTTGACTGTTGAGTTGTCTGTGGCTGCTCTGCAATTTGATCAGGAGAAACTTGCTGATTGCAGATGCGGGATGCTTTATCCTGTGGGGATTAGCAACTTCCTGGTAGTATTGTGGCTGTAGAATGTACCTAGAGGCATTGAACATCCGGTCCTTATTTTTCATTATAAAGTTAGAACATCTCCTCCACAACGTTGAAGCCACTTTGGCTCGTCATTTCATTCAGGTTAATCGGTAGAATGAACTAAAATTATATATGATTAGAATTTCAGATATTGAAAGCCAATGGTGAGGCAAACCATAGTTCGAATTAATCATTTTAAGTAAAAGATTAAAACGAATCAGAAAAATCACACAGTACAGCTTGTGGAAGTTAGAATAGCTAAGAGTTACAGTTCTAATGAAATCATGTGAGAGTGAGACCTCTCCCTTTTTTTCTCTTTTATATAAAGGGTTCAAATCCATAAGAATTCCAGGCCACATTATTCATTTTCTATTAAGAAAAGAGATGGAAGGGACGATCAACGTTGACAAATCCCTGAATGTTACCGTAAGAGTTTCACATTTGCCATCCATATAAGCCATGACTATTGCTCATTTTGAGTAAGCCCACTATAGTGTAGGTGACAGTTGAGCCGAAATTATCCTCCGCCATAGCACGGTCAAGCCTACGCTCTAATCAAATCAAAGGTTGTTGAAGTTGAGAAGCAACTGGAGGATTCGAACCATAATCAGGGGGAGAGTAAATTCTTATATCATTAGGTCAACTAGAGCAGTGTCGATACTATTGCTACTCGTTAAATCAGAGTGGACAATAACTTCAGAGCTAATTCAAGCTAATGAGTTCACAAGCGCGCCTCTTGGAGTTGCGCTGTTTTCCAAGCAAATGTTTTTCATGTTTCAAGTTGCATTCTGTGATTCCATCTATTGCCAAAACGCGAAAATTTAAATCTTTTTTTGGAAAATAACATAAAATGTTCGCACTAGATGTCGAGTTTTATCTAATTTACTGAAAATAATCAGTTTATGATCTCACCGACTCAATTGAAATTATTCCGGAATAAAAAGCCAATGAAAATTTTAGACTCCGTTGCATATAATCAGTTTATGATCTCATTCCAACCAATGAAGGGAAAACAGAAAGAACAGTAGCTTCAAATACCATTCAAGATCACGTGCACGGCACGCTCAAGAACTTTCCCGCCAAAGGAACGCTTTATGAAAGCAACGAACTGAAACCAACTTACCTACCTCGCCACTGTTCTCAAAGGAGTCCCGCCAACACCAGAGTCCACATTCCCCATTCACAGCTTAAGATTCTCGCTCCCTCTCTCTCTCTCTCTCAAGAAAATGCAGCAGAGAACCACGGGGTCGTCTCGAGGGCCTTATCGGGACGACGACTTCATCGATGTTGAGGCGCAACTGGAAGTGAAGCAAAGGCAGCCTTCTTGGAGAAGAAGAATGGAAGATATGGACCAGCACGGGCTTCCCATTTCTGATCACGACCCTCGCAACATCGGCAAGAGAGAGACCGCCCAATCCCGATACGCGGAGAAGTGGCTCCACGCGATTCCTCTGATTGTGTTGCTCTGCTTCTTCATTCTCTGGTGGTTCAGTTACCCCGGTAAGCTTTCAGATCTCAGCGCGAATTTCAAGAACTGGTTCAGTATTCTAATCTCTTCGGATGGTCATAATGTTGTGCTCGTTTACCTTAAAATTTTATGTTCAGAGATTTTCTTGATCTGTTTAGGTGTCGATCTCGTCAGTTTCTTGTGCTGCTATGTCACATTTCTTGTGATAAGACAATTGCTTTGTTTCGCTTTCTGAGAGAACATGCCTTTGATTCTAGTTCCCAGAATTTTCCCAAATTGAGTTGCCACAAGTGATTTCATTTTCTTCTCCGAGTTTCCTGTGAGACTTTGGGGCAGGTTTCTTCTTCCTCTATTGATATGCAACTGAACAGAAGCCGAAATTAACTCTGTTAAGGATACCCATATATGAAGAATCTTAATGTGCAATGTAGTGACATGAAATGGCCAGGGAGAGCCGTGTAATATGTTCTTGTCAATTTTCTTTCCCTCCATTCTCTCAAAATTAGGCACAATATGGCTCAGTCTGATTCGTTTTCATGATGAGAGGAATATTTGCTTGATTTTTTTCTCTTGATGAGAACAAGAGGCCTGATATTCCTTTTCTCTATGTAGTTGTTTCTCCACTAATACGTCTCCTATTGACAGTGCATTTGGTGATCAAAGATGGGAGCATCACAGCAATACATCGAATTGAGATTTCACGGGAATTCAACGAGACTCGCATAGATCTTGCACTACTCGCATCAGCCAGTTCACCTGGAGCATGGAGTTTTCAGAAATTTACCAGGACTGATGTGACAGAGGCTCCAAACAACTACCAAAGGTACTTATTTTAATTATATCGATTTGGTCGAATTAGGTACCATATGGCTCAATCAGAAGCTGTTCTCATAGTCATTGGTGAGGATTATTTTCTTGATTACTCATTGGAAAACAAGAGGCATTATAATCCCTTTGCTTTTCATGGGTTTTCTGTTCTCCACTGATTTGTTTCCCATCGACAGTGGATTTGGTGATCAACAATGGAGGAGCCGTGGCTTGATGCGCCCAGTTGAGATTTCATGGGGATTCAACGATACTCTCATAAATCCTGCACTACTGGCATTGGCTGCCTTGCCTAGAGCATCAAATTTTCAGAATTTTATCAGGACTAATGAGACTGAAGCTCCAAAGGCCAACCAAAGGTACTTACTATAGCTATTGTGCCTACCAAAGGAAAATACATCAGACTGCTCTCTCTCAAAATTTACCTGCAATATGTGATTCTTCGAGCTGGTTCAGCAATCAAATGTCTGAGGATCTAGAAATGTATACATGTTGCTTCCGGCTTGTATCACTAAAAAATGTCAAACTCTTTTTTGTCCTTATTCACGGTAAAGGAAATAGCAGTCATCACTTTGCATCTAGGAAACACATGACCAAGCGTTGTGGAATTCATGTCACTCTTTCAGTTTTTCTGAATTCTGATCAACACAGAAATTGCAGTGACCTGTGTTGACTATTCAATGATTGCTATGGTGTTGCTTTCGTGGGATGTCTTCTGTGATCTTATTCCCAAATGCCTCAATAAATCTTGTACGGATGAAAGTGAATGCAGAGGTATTAAGTTTACAATTTCTTCTCTAATAGCTGCTACGTACCACTGATCTCGCCATTCCGGCAGTTGCCAACCCATATGTACAAAACTGAGCTCTTGCGTGATGGCAGAATCCTACAGCAATCCCGCCTAGGTGACTGCACAACAAGAAAACTCAATTAGCATATGAACTCAAATGATAAAAGTGCTAGAGATACAGGTATAGACACTCACATACTTTACATTGATAAAGTGTTCATAAGCAAAGTGCAACAGTTCATGCTTCTCATTAGATAGCAGAAAAAAAAGTCTGCCTTACCTTCTGCCAACGATTACTATCTGGCCGTTTTAGGACTACGATGGAATTGACATTCTCCGGTGAATCCATCTTCCACCTACAACGTGGTTGCCGAGACCTTTGTCGTGAATAAAGCCCGAGAGTCTGTTTCTTAGCTCTGTCGTACCGAACACTGTTCATGTAATAGATGAATGGCTTCTGACATGGATGCTTCATCACTGGCCTTGTGTTGAAAGCATATGCGGTGTAATCCGCTCTCCGGTACCAGTTCAGGAATGTCCTCGTGGGCATCTCTAGCTCTCTTGGAGAAATTACTCCCCTTACTACTTGAACTACATAGCCCCACGAAACCGAGATGGACCACGATCGTCTCTTATCATAGCAAATGGACTGTTGCATTATGCTGGCCGAGTCGTGCTTGGCAGATTCGAATAGGTGCCGAAGAGCTCTGACTCGGGTCATGCGTGGGAATACCGGTTCTACAACATCGAGGTGGTGAATTGACACAAGCGGCGTTACTGGATGTGCTCCCAGAAGGCCTAGAAGATCTCCATACACATCATACTGCAAAAAATTACCAGACCCCTAGATCACTCTTCCTAGAAATGCACATTTTGTTCTTGAATCTATCTTACACAGACAACGGCAATAGCAATTCTGCAGAGATAGTACAATATCACTTTTCACTCTTTCCTTGAGGTTCATTTCAGCATCGTACAAACATCATTTCATTTCCTAAATGGCTAGCTCATCAGAGAAGACGGTTCTTAAGGCCCCTGGATCCAATCACTAGGCATATTGATACTTGTCTATATAAAATGGAATTACAATAAAATTAAAGTACCTGATGAAATCCGGGTTCTTTGGTGAGCGGCACTCCTAACTCGGCCATACAAGCCTGCATTCTATCATCACTACCATACAACCCGGGATACCGCTGAATGCACTTGTCCTGCATCTTGGCCAATTCCTCTGCCAGCGGATAGCTTATTGCGAAACCGCCCCCTCCATAGGCCATCGCGTAGGAGAAATATATGTTCTGAACATGACTCTCTGACGAGCTCCCGACATAATAAAACTGCCTGTGATCATACTTTGAAAGTATCCTCACCACATTGTCCACTATAAAAACCGTGTCGTCGTCCCCCATCACGAACCACCTCACGTCCTTCATCCCGAGCCTCAGCGTCTCTGAAACCACCCTCGAGATCCTCAGTGCCGCTCTCTGCCCCTGCCGGTTTGTGTACTTAAATTTAGACGTGTCCCCAGAGATCCTAATCTCGGGAAGTGGCTCATTCCTCCTAGTCCTGACCTGCTTGTCCAGCCAAACCACACCCCTGGTCTCCTTGGGCCTCCACCATAGCTTTATGTATTCTTTCCTCTTCTCCCACAGGTTCGACGACGCGGCGATACCGAAGACGATGTGTTTGAGCTCAGTGTCGAACCGTTGCGACCTCTCGGGGAGACTAACAATGGTTTTCAAGGATTCTTCATCTCCTTCTCCTCCTCCTTTGTCGTCTTCGTGCAGGCGAAGGGTGGAAGAGAAATTGTTGACAGCGGCGAGATTGTCTTCAGAGGAGAGGTCGAGGGAGAGGGAGCATCCATGGTGGTCGTTGGTGAGGAGGAGATTGGAGGAGTAGAGGATGTAGAGCATGGAGATCATGAGGAAGGAGGAGGTGAGGAGGGTCTTGAAGCCTATTAGAGGTCTCATGCTGTTGTCGGGCGGCGTCGGTATTCATTTGTTCATGACTAAAAGCTTCAATCTCTGGCATTCATCTGTTCATGAGGAAAGCCTATCGGATGAAGATGTCGTTGTTCGCTTGCCATGGTTTCGGTGGTGGTGGAAAGAGAGAAGCTGGCGGGAATAGAGGTTGGACTGAGTCAGAGAATTGTTCGGATCACAGAGAGAGAGAGAGAGAGAGAGAGAGAGAGGAGGAGGAGGAGGAGGTAGGTTTGACCTGGGCCTAAAGCCTATGCAGAAAGACCCATTTGGTTTTGGAAATGAAGTCCGCATGAAATGGTTATGCACCGAATAGATCTGATCCTCGATCGGGAGGCCCGAAAGATCGGCGTTTCCAGCCGGGTAAATGACATAAATGTTCCTCGAATATTGGTATAATGTGACCCTTAAATTTTAAATTTATTCAATTTAGTCTTTAGACTTTTGCTACATATTTCAATTTAGCCTCTAGATTATATGAAAAGTTCAGGGACGACATTGCACATTTGACCAAAATTTATTGACCATTTACGTCATTATCTCTTTTCCATCCCACGACCGGGCGGGATTGGCCCGAACCGTTTACACCAATAGGAAAGCTAGGGTTATTTTTGTCTATAGATTTGCTTCATGTCATCACAAATTCCACTTGAATTGAAAAACCTGTTTCTCTTTCCCAGGCATTTGGAGGACAAAGTCACATTCAGACATCGTTTGCTTTACATGAACAGAGTATCTTCTCTCACGACGTTCCAGGATCAAAAGTAGAGGCTTGTGTTTGTAATGTTGTCGAGAACCGTTTTCTTTAGTGGGGGCAAAGTTCAGGGAATCAAACTGAATCGCAATAGCCGAAGCTTTATGAATAACAAGATTATTTGGCGTGATGGATGGAAAATTTTACTCTTCGCGAACGGAACGGATTTTCAAGAAGAGGGGAGCGCAGCCTGATTTTTTTTAACGTGATCAATTTTCAAATATCACAATATTTACACGACTCAACCGCTAAGTGGCAAAAAATAATGAAGTCATAATAACATGCGATGTGATATAGTTTGGCGTTGAATCGTGAAAAACTGTCCGGTTAAATTCAGCTTCGATTATTCTAGCTCCCCCTTTCTTTTTTTGTCTCACACCATCACCGAAGTCGGAAACCCACGAGCAGCGCACGTGACAGCAATCATCGCTCCCTCCTTTCCACACCAAGGAAATAATAAGAAAAAAAAAAGGAAACGATTTTTAAAGGTGGCGAGGCAATTATCATCATCGTCGGCATCTCGTGTTCTCCCCGTCTCCCGTTTAAACCAATAACAGAAAAAGAGATGATCGCCATCTCATCAGTCTCTCACAGGCACCATCCCATCACACTCGCATCTGCTTGCTTCATTTCAGATCCAAGAACCCTTCTATCTTTCTTTTCTTTTCTTTTCTTTCTTGGATTCTACCCTCTCCATCTCCATCTCCATCTCTCTCTTCCCCGCGCCATTGTCTGGAGGGCATTCCAACTTCAGCACCGCTACCCTCTCTCTCTCTCCACTGCACACAAAAGGAAAGGTGAACAGCAACTGAAGTGATCTGTCCATACCCATCACCACCCAGTTTCTTGCCTTTTGCGAAACAATGCCTCCACTTTCCTGAGCCCTTCCCCCCTCCGCTCCGTTGGGTACATTCTTGTGTTTGGATCGGTCCTGCTGGTTCTTTCACCTTTCCTTCTTCTTCTCTCCAAGAGGGTGTTTCAACACCCCTCTCTCTCTCTCTCTCTCTCTCTCTCTCTCTCGCGTTTTCGATGGCGGGGGAGGATGGGCTGAGATCGAGAGAGGTCTCTGCAATGATAAAGCAAGGTTTCATCCCCAGCCAGGCTCTCTCCTTCTCTCCTTCAAGAGCCACGGCCAATGCTCCTTCTCTGGCAAGAGGGGCTCTTGGCTCTCCCTCCTCTTCTCCTTCCAAGACCCTCTCGTCCCCTTCGCCACCCCGCTTCTTCGCCTCCTCCTCCTCCTCCTCCGCCGCCGCCTCCGCGTCGGCTCAGCAGGTCCTTACTCGCCCGACCCTCTTCGAGATGATGTCCCAAGAACAGCACCGCCTGGAGTCCTCCAATGCCCTCAAGTCCAGACTATCGAAGATCCTGTCCAATGCCCCGTTCGTCAATAACGTCGTGGCGAACGGTGTCGAATGGAATGGTGATCTGGGGTTTGGATCGGGCGATGTGAGGCTCACGGTGGTCTCGCGGGACGGGTTCAGGGTTTCCATGGACGTGCACAGGCGGGTTTTGTCGGAGAAGAGCCGGTACTTCGCCGAGAAGTTGAGGCGGGACGGAGGGGTTTCGCATGCCGTGGACATTGAGATTAGTGAATGTGATGATCTTGAGGTGTACGTCGAGACAGTGGTTCTGATGTACTCGGAGGATTTGAAGAAGAGATTGATTGGAGAGGGTGTTGATAAAGTTTTGGGTTTGCTCAAGGTGAGACCCTTCATACTCGTCACTCAGCAATATCTTGGATGTTGGTTTAGTGCAGACTAGTTTAAGTATATTTTTATGTGGTGAAGTGATTTTGGATTAGGCTTCTTGGGTTTGATTTTCATTGAGATGGTGCTAGCCACTTAGTTGTGTTAGGCTCAGTGGAGTGCCTGTTGGGTTATTTACCACTTTGAAGCTTCAGCGAGGTCAGAGCATGATTGTGCTTTCATGTCTAGTTGCCAGACGCGGTGCCTAGTTATATAGACTCAACTATTCTATTCATCTAATTGTTATTCTAGAATCACACTATTTGTTTTTGTTCTTATTATTCTCTATTTACCACTTTGAAGCTTCAGCGAGGTCAGAGCATGATTGTGCTTTCATGTGTAGTTGCCAGACGCGGTGCCTAGTTATATAGACTCAACTATTCTATTCATCTAATTGTTATTCTAGAATCACACTATTTGTTTTTGTTCTTGTTATTCTCTAATTACAATGCCTCTCTGTTCTATGGTGTCTCCTTGTCCATGGCATAGCTTCTAAGAATTTTTTTCTATTTTCCTATTTTCTTGTATCATGCTCTTTGTTTTCCGTTGCTTGCGTGGTATTATTTTGTTTCTACTGAAGAAGGCATCCTTGAGATCATCTTCAAATGCAAGAAGTTCCATAAGTTGTTTTAATTACCTCTTCCATGACTGTTCTGACTATCCCCGGGTTTCTGTATTGCAAGACAACATATGTCACTGTTCTGTTTAGTGTGGTGGTTGAAGAAGAATACCTATGTTATGTACAACTAACCAGACTTGAGTTGGCAGTTGTTCATATAAAGAAATTTATTGGAAGAAAATCGTTGCAAAAGGCTCGTCTTAAGAAATGAAAACACGTGAGAGTAAATTCAACAGCTCATTCAGTTTAAGAATGCTTAAAGCAGAGCACGAACCACTTTTTTCTTTCTTTCTTTCTTTCTTCTTATAACCTGCTTCCGATATTCTGCTCTCCTGCAGGTATCTTCTGCTATTATGTTTGACATCGGGATAACTGCGTGCTTGGAGTATTTGGAAGCTGTTCCATGGTCCAATGATGAAGAAGAGAAAGTTATATCTCATCTTAGGCAACTTCAGCTTCACGACTCAGCGGCTGAAGTTCTGCACAGAGTGTCAGCTGAGCCATCCACATCTTCAAGAGCTGATGATATCTTCTTAAGACTGTTGAGTGGGGTTTTGCAGGCTAAGGATGATAAAGCTCGCCGAGAAATGAAGAGCTTAATTTCACGGTTGCTGAGGGAAGAAGCATCTGATTGCAGCAGTAGTCTTGATGTCTCTCGAGGCAGTCTTTATCATCTTTGCCATCGATGTCTTAGTTCTCTTACTCTATGCCTATCTGAAGCTGCAGGGCCCGATGAAAACAGGCGAGATAGAGGGACTATGATGGCAGAGATAGCCCGGGAGGCTGACAATATGCATTGGATTGTTGAAATTCTAATTGACAAAAATATGGGAGATGAGTTTGTGAAGTTATGGGCAGATCAGAAGGAACTTGCCATTCTTCATTCAAAAATACCTATCGTTTATCGACATGAAATTAGCCGAATAACTGCACAGCTTTGCGTTGCAATGGGGAAAGGACTTATCTTGGTGCCAAAAGACACTCGTCTTTCTTTGCTCTCTACATGGCTTGAAGCCCTCTATGAAGATTTTGGATGGATGAGGAGGGCTTCAAGATCATTGGATAAGAAGCTACTTGAAGATGGCCTTGGACAAACGATTCTGACCCTTCCCTTGCCACAACAGCAAGCTATTTTTCTCAATTGGTTTGATAGATACTTAAACAAGGGAGACGATTGTCCCGATATTCAGAAGGCATTTGAGATTTGGTGGAGAAGAGCTTTCATAAGGCAGCATGGGCCTGAACTGAATAATTCTCATTTGCAAATAACTGTATGTGGATACCCAAACTGAATAAAGCCACAGAGAATCAATTGTACATGCAATTTTTCAGTCCTTGTCTGTTTTGCCTATTATTTGAGTTGAGATACGTATGATGCTGAGGATAATTTTACATTATTACCACATCGGAAGTTGAATTGGCAGGCATCTTAGAAGCAAAGGACAGTGCTTTATTACCTTTGGCATACTCCATAGCAGGTAAGGGGGCATGTCAGGTTTATCAGAAGTTCCATAATTCTCAATCCGGGTTAGCAGCAACCTTGATCTTTGAAGTTCTCGAACAACGTTCATCTAGTCCACCTGTCCGAATTCTCTCCGTTAGTCCTTAAATTGTTGTCATCATTCTCTGAGGGCACTTCTTGACACTCTTAATTAAGTTCACCAAGCTGCTTGGTGAACTGTCAAATTGACGTAGTTGTTCAAGACTAAGGGGCATTGATCATCTGATTCAAACTTTGTGACCCCATAGCCATAAATTCATTACAAATATGCTGTGTTCACGCTCCTGGATCTGATTTCTATTTCTTATTCATCTCATCTACGTTGTAAGGTGAGACTCATCCTTCTGGCAAAAATGAAAAAAGGGTAAGAAACAAAGGATTATCCTTCACATACGTGTTACATCATACCCTGTCATTATAGCTTCTCCATTGAATACAAGCCTACATTTCCATAAATTAAATTTCCAACTAGCTAGAAACCAATTTTTTTCCCCTTTGCTTTTTCCTCCACCTCACTGTATGCTGGCCAAAAAGTTCTGCGATTGTTCTTCAAGACGGAAACCGGCCTTCTTGGAGTCATCTGCAGACCATATAAAAATTCCATGAAGTTTCCGGAGGCGTTTAAGTCGGCCACAAGCCTCAAAGAAACCATTTGCTGGGGATAGACCCCCACTTCCATCAGTACCGAAGCTCACCAACACCTTTGCATCTCTGTAGTTGGAGCTCTGATCCTCGAAATACTTCATAAACTGAGAAACTGTGGTTCCTTTGTCATACGCATAGAATTGAAAATTGACATAGTCTATGAGATGTCCATACTTCTTCCACAGAGCCAAATAGTTTGACTGAACAGTGTCATTGTCATAAGGTGCTATTGAGGCGAATGACACTATCTTGTTCTGTTTTAGGCGGGTTAAAAGTTGACCGATACACTCTGCAAATGTGTCTGGATCTGAACTGAAGTGTTCGTAGTCAATATCAATGCCATCCAGTTCATACTCTTTTGAGATTCTTGTGAGTGAAGCGACGGCATTGCTGACCCATGAATTGATCGACTTCGGAGCAAAGTGAACTGGTTTGTTGTTGCCTATGGTGTCCCCTCCGAGACTCATAGCTACCTTCACATTTGGTTTGTGCGCCTTGATTGAGGCAACAGCAGAAGGGCCGAGATTTTGCATGTCCCAGTAGACATTGAAGTCGCCATTTGTCGGAGACAGTGAGGTTGAGTAATCTATGGCGAAAGAGAGAATGAAGTGGAATTCGACGTCGTGATTAATTGGTACGTCGGAAAACTTAACATTATTTCCTTCCGCTCCTATGTACTCCCTGAAGAGTTTTGAGTTTCCTGGGGCAGCATGGATTATTGGGACTGCGAAGAGAAAAACTTGAGAAATGAGAGGTAGAAGAAGGATTTTTTTCATTTCCATGGATGTCAGATGGGGTCGTTCAGTTTTCTGATGGGCATATATATAGAGAAACAAGCAAGGTTAGAATAATTATCTGTTGGCAATGCATTCTTGGCTTTGTTCTGGTGTTACATTGTTATCTCAAGAATCCAATTTTGGCTGTCAATGCATTCAACATTGTCTGACGTGCTTGAATATTGATCCGATCAAAATGGCGTGGAGGATTTGTCTTCACTCTTTTGTCTTTTGATGCCTATACGATCACTAGAGTCAGGATTCCCTTTGACAGCGAGATTCTTATGGAGTAGTTGACCAGTGTCCTCTAACGTTGATTTCGGGCATAGGGAATTGTTCCTTGCTGTTCGAGTTTCTTCCATCCATATGTTTGATTGCGATGAGAAATGCATATCTGTGACGCGTCTCTGTTTTATCTACTCTCCGGCATTTTGTATTGGACCCCTTGTTTTTTAGAGGTGCCAAACTTGACCACTTGTTTCCAAAATCATGAGGTCGGCTCGGTTTCGGAGGTACGCTTGTTTTTATAGAAACTGCATTTTATTTTATCTTTGTGAAAGAAGAAGAAACAACGAAGTCATAGAGTGTTGCACTGGGCCTTGTTATAGGACGGCAAGCAAACATGTATGTGATGCAAACCTAGTGCCTTTTGGCATAATGACCGGCAAAGATGGATTGAACATAAGGATAATGATGCCTTTTTTACAATTATTATTTATGGCTTGCTGATGTAGGTCCGTGGCTAGACTGCTAGATCTTTTGGTATAACCATGGATAATATATCTTGTTCACTTGATTCTGCTAAAAGATGTAAAGGCCTTCTTTTGTTTCTCTAGCCCTGTCTACTTTTGCCATGACTGTCCAATTCTAGGGAAAGGTGCATCAAGTCATTTTATTCAAATGAAGTATGCAATCTGGTGTTGACAGTTTTGAAACGATTCTCTTTTTTTCCTGCAATATTAATGCATAATTCAAAGTTTTCTTTAGGGGGCTTTTATTATTTCCCGAAGATCTGTATAGTTCAAGATTTTGTCTTGCTATGTTGTTCCAAGAATCTGCAGGCCAGCTTTTGGAAAGTTGGTACTTCCAACAAACAAAACGCCAATTATTTCGGCCGATTAAAAAAGGGACAGGATTGTGTAATCCTTGGGAGTCAACAAGACCCCCCACCTAATGCGACAAGAAATATTTTTCCAAGTCTAGGACCCTTCAAAAGGAAGCAGCAAAAGATTGTACTGTAACACAGCGTCGAAAATCTGATGATGCATCGATGTTTGTCAGGTAAATTGATCATAAGCTAAAAGATACGTTCTACGAGTGCTTCACTTGCTTCGAAAGTGTTAAACTCTCACCCATCTGAGTTCAAGATGGAGCATTTTAAGGAGGTATCAGTGAAAAGATGCGGAGGAGAACTAAACGATGGATTGAATGGACATCGTTGAGCAAAAAATTCTGAAAAATGAGTTACAAATATTTTATAAAAACTTGGAATAAATTTCATCCGCTGTGAATGGAAATTTTAAACTGAGGCTTGAAGAAAACACCGTTCCATTTTGGATGAAGCTCTATCATGTGCTGGTTTCATGTATTGATTGGCCTTCCATGATTTAAAGGATACTGCGGTTTAGTGTTAATTCTGAAATTATTATTCAAATTGGCTTTGATTTTCTGACCCTATGGGCCATTATATAGTTGAAATTCATCGTGAATAAGAGAACAGGAATCTTTCATAATCTGAAAATATTATGGAGCCTCTTTGCAATGCAACTTCAACATACAGTGATTCCCACCTCCCCCCACCCCCGCCCCACCCCCCCCTCATCTCTTTGCTTAGCCCAGACCACACTAAGAAACCCAATTACCTAGCCAGTTAAGAAGGCTAGAGAAATATCACAAAAGAGAATCAGCAAAACCGAAAAATAAGTAGGAAAAGCATTCAGTTAAAGTCAATCCAAAAGTGACAATGAGATGTCAATCAACACATGGGAAGATCTGCAGGTGGAGGAAGCAACTTCTGATTGGGTAGCTTCCCATCTAAGACAAGCCATGCCATCTTCAAGCCCCAAGTGGTGTGAACTTCCAAGTGGCAGTGCATAAACCACACCCCTATATGATGATCACTTTCATTAGCATTCATCATTAAAAAAGAATATGCAAAGTTAGACATAATAACAGACCCCATATGATTCTACCATGTTCTTCAGAAACATAAAAATGAAAGAGCAATTGCAATTGCATTATGAATGTTTTTCTTAAGATGATTCTCTCACCTGGGTTATCAGCTAAAAACCTTATGGCAACCCAACCCCCAGAAGGCACACCCACAGTGTTCCTCTCAACTGGGTCAACAAGATTGAATTTTGCAGGATCCTTATTTGGGTCAAAATTGCCAAATCCTTGTCCCACAACAAAGAAGTTGAACCCATGCAAGTGAAGGGGATGGTTCTCAGCACCAAGAATGGTAGTGTCCTGCATAATAAGCTCTACACTGGTGTTAAAAGGCAAGACCACCAGCTTTGTTCCATTGCCCACATTTGTGTTGTTGGGTGGGGTCCCAGTAAAGTTGAATATGGATTTCGGGTAGCTCGGGAAGTCCGGGCTGTAGACTCCGTTCGATTGACCAGTGTAGTGGGCTTGAAGGAGGGCAGTGGTCGGCATTGTGAAAGATACATTGTTAACAGCAGCAGTAAACATTGTCCCATTTGGTCCTTGGCAAGTTTGGTTGCCTTGACATGGAATAGTTCCGAGACCGATTGTGAAGAAGAACCTCTGGTCTACCTTTTGAGGTACATTGGCGGGAAATTGTGCGGTTGCTAGACTCCGGAGTTTATTCGTGAAATTTGTCGAAAAGGCAGTGTCGTTCAAAGGCGGGAGAGTTGGTTTAAAGAGCGGAAGTTGCTTAATTGAAGAAGACCGATGAGGGTCGTTAAGGGGTGGTTTATATTCTAAAATGCCGGCGACAGTAGAGTTGTCGAATGTACCAAGACCAGTCACATAAGGCCTTGCAGTCATGAGGAAAATGGCTTTTGGGTAGTGGGGTTTTGTCTTAAGGAGGACATTTGTGGTCTGTCCAGGGGCGATTAGGAGTGTCTCGGTCTCAAAAGGTTTCAAATAAACAGCATCGGCTTCGACAACGGTGAGTGTGTGGTTTGCAATGCTAAAGAAGAGCTCGTCATTAAGTGCAGCATTGATTAAGCGAAGAAGGTAAGTCTTTCCTGGCTTCACTTTGAGCCTGTATGTATCTGCAGGAATTCATTCATTAAAATATTTAGTCCATCAGTTATCAATCGTATGCTTCCAGAGTTTCCACAGAAATAAGATTTTCAGGAAATATAATCCATAAAGCAAGATGCGGTACCTTTGGCAGAGCAGTTATACAATGGTCCTGGAAGTCCATTGATGGTATAGGCATCGGAAACATTAGGTCCTCCACCGGTTTGCAGGGCCTGCCTGATGATTGCCTCTGGATCTGAATTAAACCATTCACCTGAAAGTTTGTATTCTGTTAAGTTTTTGATAATCAGAAAACTAAATGTGAAAGCAATGTTGAGCTCGGATCAGTCTAATCTCTATTGCATTACCAAAGACGACGGGGACTTCTTTGTGAGGCTTGGCGAATGGGTAAGAAGCATTATGCTTGGGGAGGATGATCAGAGGACCGTAGAGAGTTGACCGTAGCCACGATATATGCGCATGCCACCAAAGAGTGCCTCTTTGGCCTACAATGGTGTAGTTGTACACGTAACTCTGGCCAGTTTGTATCGGGCATTGAGTCACATATGCAGGACCATCTGCCCATCCCGATCGAAGTTGTCGAACTCCATGCCTGTTTTGTGTAGAAAATAAGAAGGAAATTAATCCTCTACGACAGCCTAGGACTAGACTATGAAAGCAACTCTCTATTGACTACATCAAGGGTAAGGGCTTGGCTTGACCCTGTGTCATCTCCTGGTCGGAGTAACCTATTGCCAAAGAAGCCTCCTAACAAGAAAAAAAAAAGGGTGAACTAAAAAAAACAGACCCAACTTTAAGTCGAATCGCAAATCTACCCGAACTTTAGGTCTAGTCCCAAATCTGCCCCGAACTTTTTTTTATCTTAGAAAAAATCCCAAACTTTAACTTCAGTCCCAAATCTGCCTCGAATTTTATTTTGTGTAAAAAAACGAGCAAATTTTATTTATTTTCAAAAATATACCACCGTTATCCAGTCCCAACTTAACGTGGCACTTCGACGTCGATAACAAATCCACATTAGCAAAGTAATGGGGCGATAGATACAGGCCGACGTCACATTTCCAATTTGATAACAAATCCAACCCAATAAAAATTGTTGACTGATATAGGATATGAAAGTGAGGGACAATAATAGATCCATCCCAAAAAGCCTTTTTTAATATAAAAAAAATTCAATTTTTAGGTTGAGTCCAAATTTATCCCGAACTTTTCTTTGTCCAAAAAAAAGCCCCATTACTTTGTTAATATGGATTTGTTATCGACGTGGAAGTGTCACGTCATGTTGAGACTGGATTACGGGGGTATATTTTTGAAAATAAATTGAATTTTGATGATTTTTTTACACAAAACAAAATTTGTGGCAGATTTGGGACTAGACTTAAAGTTTGGGGTTTTTTCTAAGACAAAAAAAAGTTATGGACCTAAAGTTTGGGGTTTTTTTTAGATAAAAAAAAGTTCAGAGCAGATTTGAGACTTGATCTAAAGTTGGGGTTTTTTCGGGAATTAGGCCGAAAAAAAGAAAAGGAGAACCTAGGACTAGGCTATGAAAGTGCCTCTCTATATTGACTACATCAATTGACAATGGCTTGTAGGCTATCAACTCAGCGTAATTTGTCATACCAGTGAATTGAGATGTTGTTCGGGACCCGATTAACCACTTCAATTAGAAGTCGATCGCCTTCCCTGGCAATGACTCGAGGGCCCGGCCATTTCCCATTTACAGTGACCATGCTTTTGGTGTGGCACAGACGCGTCGCATTGTGCAACACAACCTGCGGAGCACATTTTCACATGGTTAGAAAGAAACAATCGCAACAGGAATCGTCAACACATAAGTCCATGTACATATTGTATACATGGTTCATGTCTAGAATACAATCTCATTTGAAAAAGTTTCAAAGATGCGACGTCTACATACATTGAACTTGTAATGCCTGGTCACGCCTTCACCAGCGACAAGAGCAGTCTCAGGACAGAAGCATGACGCAAAAAATGCTACGAGAAAGAAACCCGCAAGTGGACATGATTGAAGGAAAGAAGCGCCCATTTTATCCCTTCTCAGCCTCAATTTTTCTTTTAGCAGAACAGAGGAGACTGATGAGTGTAATGACTAAGAAAACTTGTTGTTATAGTTCAAACTGCTTGTGGATGCAACATTACCAATCTCCTGAAGTATATATATGCAAGTGTTCCTAGCTGATCTGGTAGGGAAAATGCATAGTTTATTACATAGAGACGCTGCAACAGTTCCATATCATCGGTTGTTAGAACAACCTTAGAGTGATGTCAAAGACAATCCAATTTGACCTCCTTCCCCTTCAAGTCAAACTTCTCATGTTGGGCCAAGTAATGTTACTCAGTTAAATTGTCACAGTTCTCATGTTGGGCCAAGTAATGTTACTCAGTTAAATTGTCACAGCAATATAAAGTAGAGGTAATTAAGCAGCCATGGCGCTGACTCCCGGTAAATAATTTGAAGGGCAGAATTCAGTTGAAGATCACGAGGCGTTTCGAATAAGAGCATTCCATTTTTTTAATTATTTTCTAATTCTATTTTTGTTATTTAATTGTTTGTTAGCTTGATCAGTCGTATAGAATGGGTCATTTATCTGGTGAAAACAATCAAATTAATTCAGTCTCCTGTTTAGCAAGAACCAGTGACCAAATACTATCATGCAACCAATTGAATCACACTAGAAAATTTGAGGTTGGTGCTCTGTTTTCTGTAGAAGGTTCTCATTGTTGTTGTCTCTCCTTCCCAAGGCCATATTTGGCAGTAGAAAGCTCTCACCCTCAAGAGAATATCTTTAGTTGATCAATCAGAAGTTGGTAGCCAGAAGTTTCTTTCTTGGTGGAAAATCTGAAAGTTGATTTTGAAAACGTTTTCCTAGTTACATATATAGTATTGTACAATGTTTACCAATTAGCTATTTCTTGAGAGCAAAGGAACTTGCTATGTTTCACAAAGATAAAAATCTTAAGGGGGGATGATGGTGAAGATCAACATCAAGAAAGAATTTGACATAGCCGCACAAATCGAATGCCGAGAACGAACATAACCTGTGCATGAGAGGCTGGAATTGACCTTACATCGGCATAGTTATGGTTAGATTGTCGGATCAAGATTGAAGCATGCATGGCAGGTCATTGGATTGGGACAAGTACTAACAACTTTTTTTTCTGTTCAAGAGGGGCTTAGCTTGGTCATAAAGAAATAATAGACGGTAACCATCAAAGCTGTCATTGTAATAGTTAGATGGGGGTTTTGTGGACAGTCTATTTTCGTTGCCATAGGGTAACAGGTCATGGATGAACAGTGGGACAACCTAAAGGGACGCAATTTTAGTTCAAGCAAGCGAGCTAACTACTGTAGCTTACATGCCAAGAATATCATATATACCATATCACATATTCACGCATTGCATTCAGAAATCTGCAGAAAAAGTATTGGCTTGGCATGTAGAAGGAGGAGGTCTCACTTTGCTTTCATGGATCCCCACGATATATATGAAACTTACGGTCTGATTTGACCGACTACTACTCTCCCTGTTACTTATTTAAACCCTATGACCTACTCCCCCTTCTGATCCAATCTCATTTTCATGGGGCTGGAGGGATCTCCCTCTTACCAAATCCAGGGCTCTTCTGTCGTGTATCATGGCATGCTCCCAATATTAAAATACGATATCGCATGGTAAAATGTCCCGATTGATGCGGAGATCCATAACTTCTTCGTTGTAACGTGAATTTGTCGTAGTAGTTTCCCAGATTTTGGTTTGCATAGAGATGTCTTGTTGGAGAACTCCATTGGATACTCTCACAGGAGGATTAGCTGTAAGTACGATCAACTCATGGATAAAAAAATTAGCAAGTTAGGGGGTCGATTTACAAATGAGTTGTCAATTAGCACAAGGATAGTCAAATTGTGGGGAAAATTACCCAATCATTCTTGAACTGTCAATTCAATTATAAACCTTTCAATTTTGTCAATTTAGTCCTAAACCTTTGAGCGAAATTCTAATGTTTGTCTTTTTGTTCAATTTTCGCTCGAATTATCTGATGTAACGGTTCAGTCATTGCCAGTCGTTCTACGTGGCACATTACAATGTCAGCAATTTCCAGCGAAAATTAGCCGGAAGGAATACACTGGAATTTAGCACAAAGGTTTAGGACTAAATTGGCAAAATTATTTGACCAAAAAAAATTTGGCAAAATTAAAAAATTTAGGACTAAATTGACACAAATACAATAAGCTCAGGACTGATTGGATAATTTCCCTTCAAATTATGATTTACAATGTCTTTCAATTGTTTGCTTTGGCAGGAAAAAAAGTTGAGCTATTTCTTGTCATGGGTACCAATTGCGAACATAGCAGTATTACCACGACTTACTTTGATTCAACCCAGAGTTCGTTCAAGAAAAGTGATGTTGATATACATGTCGATTGTGGTTTAAAGCTTTCAAAATTCAATCTGACCAGGAATGGAGTTTGCCCAACTGATTTGTTCACGAAGCCTTCGCTAGTTACACGACTTAGAACATATCGAGTTCTTGGGAAGCCAGAATCGATAGGTTTCCCAAGATGATTTCGATAAATTTTTTTCATGAGAAAAGTGATTTTTCTATTTTAAAAAAAAATGGTCTTAAACTTTAAGACGATCCGATGGATGTGATTAAACAATAGCCAAAGATACTTTAATCACTGATCAGGGGAGAATTAAACCAGAAAAAAAAGAAGGCTAATGAGCATAAGTGATGGTGAAGGAAATAGCTAGTTCTAAAGATCTAAAGTGCCCAAGAGAACATTACACCTTTGTAAGTTCGAGAAGGAAAGAATCTGGGTGTTTCTCCTTCAAGGCTATTATACATAGGTCGAACGTGCAAGTGCAATGTCGCTGTCGGGTGTGTTCGTGTCCTGAACTCGTGAACACGGCCATGGAAGGATCAAGGTTCTGCAGATCATGGTTCTTCACGAGCTGCGTCCTCTTCCTGTTCGCTTTAGCTGCAGGAAACGAAACCAGCGCCCCGCAAAACAAGGTAAATTAGTTCACTGTACGTGACGTCAAATGTGAAAACCCCGCTGCAGTATGTGAATCCGAATAGTTTTGACGTCGCGTCACCATGTTCTTGATTGCAGAACAACTGCACCTACGCCATAACCATCGAAACGACGTGCGCCGACGGAGCCGAGACCTCCGACCACGTGGCCGTCCGGTTCGGGGACACGGGCTCCACCGACATCGTCGTCCGCCGCCTCGACGCCAAGCGCTTCCGCACCCTCGATCCCCTGCAGCCCGCCGACCCCCTGGACGACGTGCCGCGGAAGCCGTTCCGAGCCTGCGCGGTGGACGAGTTCCGCGTCGCCGGCGAGTGCGTCGAGTCGCCCGTTTGTTACCTCTACCTGAAGCTCGCCGGGAGCGACGACTGGCGGCCGGGATTCGCGAAGGTCCAAGTCCTGGAGGGGCCCCATTTGAGCTCCGAGTATTTCTACTTCCGTCGATACTTGCCGCGACGAGTTTGGCACGGTTCTGATTCCTGCGAGAAGGAGGTCACTCCTTTTGGGATTAAGAGCAAGAGGAAGGTCTTTGCAACGAAGAGATTTGTCGTTTGAAAGAAAGGAATTGTATACCCATTGGATACTTCTTGCTTGTAAATTATGTGCAGCTTCTTTTTTCTTTTTTTTCAGCTTGTTAGAGCAAAAATAAAATTATTATATTTAACGTAGCAAGCTTTAGTTGAATAAATAACACTACCAAAGTTTGTTCACCACCAAAAAATTGTGCTTATAACAAATCTCATGCATTAATATATCATCCTATTTGGATCTTGTCCAATTTCCATGAATGAAAAACTCGACGATTACTTATGAAGCCTAGCCCCTGTCTCATTCGTTGATGTCCAAAGTGTTTGGTTAATGTAAGTCCGCGATAGCCTTTTGGATCCTTCAAGGAAAAACTTAATTACGGATCCAAAACCGAATTATGAAATTTTTTTTTTAGGACAAGAAAGCTCTCTCCAAAAAGTACATTCCAAAATCATGAAATACTCCACTAACTACATGGACTAGGTAAGATCATTTATACGGAAAGATCGAACTACCAAAGTACTTAAACTATAAGCGGTTGCTTCCATGAATAAATAAAGATCATTCGTTGATGTCCAAAATCTTTGGTTAATGTAAGCTCGTGAAATCATTCTGGATCCTTCCAAGGAAAAACTTACAGATCCGGATCCGAATTATAAAATACTTTTCTTTAGGACTGGAAATCTCACTCCAAAAAGTGAAGTAAAAAATCACGAAATGCTCGGCTAACTTCATATACTAGCTAAGATCATTTATACGGAAAGATCGAACTACCAAAGTACTCAAAACATGCGCGGTTGCTTCCATGAATAAAGTAAAGATCACCTCTTCTGGTGTTGGTGCCATCGGAGTAAAAAAGATCACCTCATCTTTCCAGCTCGTTCAAGTAATGCGTGAAACCACTTTTGTATATGGGACAGTGTTACTGAGTCCATCAGCCGTGAGGGTCCCGAAGAGAAGACACATGTCTGACTTCAGAAGGAACTGTCTGCATCCGTCCGGATGCATTCATTCTCGGTACACTGTTGGGCGGTTTATACGTAAATCAGGAAACTGCGAAAGATGAATTCACGTGCATGTCGGAGCACGTGAATGCTCATGACTTCGATCTGTTCCATCACCATTAGTGTCCTCGTCTCGGGCTCCGCAGATTCTTTGTGCCCTCCCGCAGTATTATACGGTCCCGTTTCTGTCCATTTCATCTTGAGCTGTATAGTAGAAAGAGGGGGAGTCCTATACATAATGGTGATATTCATGGATTAACTCATTAGGGTATTGTCTGCTTTGACCTGTTCTATACCGAGCCTCTCGCCGGCGGTTTTATCTTTTTGGCGGACACATGGGCACCTTCCCAAGAGTTGTCCAATCCGGAAGTGTTCCCATTTGAGCACGCTAACATTTGAAATTTAAAAGCAAAGCTTTGCTTTTACATCAAAATGCTCTTCCGGGAGTTAATTCCAATTTTCACATATATATCTCACAATTGCTTTTCGCCTGTTCGGTGCATAATTTGGTTTATTCATACTCCCTTCGCCATCTTAGAAGTCTGCTAGGAGTTGCTAATTGTCCAGACTCTCTAGCCCCGGAGACCACTATCCGCTCTTGTTGGATCAGGTCGTTACAAGATGATTAATTACGATACACATTTATAGGTTAGATATTTGAAGACTGGATCTTACCTGATTTACTTTTCTCTAGTTTCCATGCTTGGATTAGCTAGTATTTCCATTTTTTGTTGGAGACGACGATTCACGTGACACAATATGAGAACATGATTCTTAACATTATAAGGATTTATTGGGAGAAAATCGAGCTCAAACACTATATTACTTGAAATTGAAAACGAGTTGACAAGTTTATCCTTTTTTTTGGGCGCGTGAAAGTTATTTTGTTATCACGTCAAAATATTTTTATCGAGACACAGAATCGCATAAATAATCGATGTGAATATGCAGATTAGACTTGAAATTTTAGCTGAAATATCAATGAGCTCGACTTCGATGTAACAACTCAATTCCGCAAGTTCACATGGTTCGATACGATTTTAATTGATTCCACAGGTGTTATTGCAATTCCATGATGAAATCAGTTATTTTGACTTTTTGGACAAATACACCGTTTGATATATCTTTAAAACTGAAAGTGGAGTAATAAGAATCGACATGCAAAACTATAGAAAAAGGTTTATTTAGTTTTTAAAAATTTCTGTAAACTTTACTACAGGTTTATTGTGTAAAAAAAGTTCATTTACGCAAAAAGAAAATAGATGAGCTCCTGAAAAGAAACTTACGTGAACACCGGATTGGAACGAAAAACCGGTTCTTCCGGTCCGACCGGACAAGTCACCATACTGGGCCTTCGTCATCCACTTCGCTGGGCTCTAAGCACTGTTGGAGTGGTGTCGTTGCAGAGAGAAGGTAATGGCGATGGAAGTTGCGGTCTCCACCAATTTCGGCGGATGCCCCCGGCGTTATTCCGTCGTCAACCACCGCCAACGACCCGCGAGTACGGCCAAGGGTTTCGGACAAAACTCCATCGTTCCGGCGACGAGGATAAGGAGGTCTTGTCGTGTTCTCGCTGCAAATAATCCCAAAAGTGACGACAAAGGTTCGAGCTTTGGGGAATCTTACGCCTCCCAGGTTACCCTCTTTCCTTTCCTCTGACCTATATTTGCTACCGGACTTTGCAATTGCGCATAGTTTCTGAAAACTCTAGAATTTATCTTGTCTCAGTATAGGAAATATGAGGCCAATTGGGAAATCTAGTGACTTGAATTGAAGGTTCTCATTTCTAATTTTGGAATTGCAGTTTTGTGAGGTGGGAGTTAGTTTTGTTAGCTGGAAATGAGAGAGAGAGGGAGAGAGAGAGCAGGAAAAAAACATGATCTTGCTTGAAAAGGAGCTACAGTTTTTTTGGTTCAGTGTACAAAAGAGGTAGGAATTTTTGAACTTCTGTCTCTACCTTTAGGGTGAGAAAAAGGCCATCTTGGTGAGATCCTCTCTGTTATAGCATTGTCATTGCGAAACCCGGGTTGGAATTTCTATGCTTGCAGTCTAAAGCCCTCAAAGAATTTTCATGGCCATTTGGTGATTCCAAATGCAGCCCTTTCCCCCTAACTCTGCGACTTGATGACCCTTGCATGCAGGTACGGATCAGAAAGAACCCATTATCGCATTTGTTTGAATTATCTAGACAAGTTTGGTTACTGTTAGTTTTATTCTGATATCTGAAGATATATACATTCATATATGTGTGTGTGTGCGCGTGCGTCTGTGTGTGTGTGATGCTACTACACAAAGGGGTAGTACCATAGACCGATTATGTGGAGGAGAAAGGGGCGGTAATGGTGAAGGAATTTTTTTCATAGGAGAAAAGTAGGATTAGAGATGAGAGTTCCTGTTGTACATGAACATTCAGTAACCAATTTTTTACCTTCGCGTATTTGTGTTAGGAGTAGTTAGACATTCACTGTATGTGTACACAAAACTGTTGTTGCATTGCCGCCTTCTCATAGCCTTCTCTAGTGTTAGCTAAGGAGTAACTGAGCATGGTCAGTTAGAGGTTTGTCTGAGGCTCTGCATAGTCTGCTGCCAGCCTCTGCGTACTGTTTTCCCAAAGCTCGACACCGCTTGATAGCATAGGCCGCTCGGGCTTTCTCTGAAGGGAAGGACTTGGAAAGTAGTGAAGTTCTTTATGCTGTTACATTCAAGGTCGAGCATATAGAAAACCAGAGAATCATTTTGTTTTTGTTGGTAAGGTGGCTCAGCTCCTACATTTGAGATGGAGTCATCTTAAAATAAAGTTTGAACTAGTTTTCCATTAAATGTGGTAGGTGAAATCCGAGTCTGTGGGGATATCGTTAATTATAGGAAAGATAGCAAACAAGAGACAAGTTTCAGAGTTCAGATGTGCATTTGATGATGTTCGACTCTTCATCAGTTAAGTAGCATTTGATTCTAATGATATCATTTTTGCGGTTTTAGCAGGAGGATTTGAACTATCTCTGGAAATTAGGAGCCGGTTCTATTGCTGGTGCTGCTTTAATAAAGTACGGGAGCATCCTTTTCCCCGAGATCACGAGACCCAACATCATTGAAGCTCTAGGCATGATATCAACTCCAGTCGTTGTAGCGGTGTTACTCTTGATCAAGCAAAGTCGGGCCGAGCAATGAACCTTAAAAAGTATGTGCGCTCTGGTTGCGTTTACTTGCCTTGTGTACATTGAAATTGAGTCAGGATTCAGGAGGGCTATTTTCTAGATTGCCAAGACGAGCACCGGATGGTTGTCGGACATAACAAAAAAACACGATAGCCATGTATAACTTTCCTATTCATCTGACGGTTATACTCTCTCAGTGACACGGGAATACAAGCGATTCGTAATCTAAGTATATATCTTTCATAATCCCTCCAATATTGTAGGAACAGACACAGAATTTGATCTGCTAAGTCAAGTCAAATTATATCTGTTGAACGGGAATGCTCTATTCCTTCGTTTTCTTCTTCTGGTTTCCTGAACCGTGAGATTTGTCGTTAATTGTTCCAAGGAATCTCTTGAAATCATAAAACAAAAACCCTCGAATATTTTCGGCTCACTTCTCGTTGTCATTACGTTGGGAACTAAAATTTGTCACGAGTGGAACCATCTTCCTTCCTAGATTTAGGGTAGCATAAACCAAAGGCTAGTCACGACTGTTCCCGCTTGACTTTGCTTCCCTCTCCAGTCAAATCACTCTCACATAACCACTGGTTAACGTATCTCATCTTTGCTTGCTCCCCTCGCCTCGCACACCTGCATGCATGATCTTTGACCTGCTCCTGGACTTCTTACTTTTGCTTCTTCGAAACCTTGAAAGCAGCGCCTATCCATTCCAAAGTATTTTCGTGGAAGAAGGATGTTAGGAGGTAATAACACGCGAAGCCTTTTATATGCTAGCGAAATGACGTCATCCTCGGGGTAGGCACAAGTATGACCGAGATGCATAGTTATTAATTACACAGAGGAAGAGAGAGAGAGAACCAGAGAGGGGGCCAAATGATGATTTGATGCTACACGGACAGCGAGATATGATTTAGATTAGACCACTCCTTATCCATCACGTTGATGGGAAAACAGATGACTTGGAGAAGATTATAATAAAATTAAATTAGCAAAGAAACAGAGAAAGATCTATTCCTGATAAGACTCTCCAATCATTTTTGGGGTTTTGTTACTCTTCATTTTTCTCTCTATTTTTCCCCGTGCTGCTGCTCTCTTCCAAAATGGCAATTAATGATGAAGTGCGACTAGACAGTTTAGCAAACAGTCGAAGCTGTACACCATATCAAGAAAATGGCAATTAGAAATTCTCTCGTGTGCTCTTATCCGTATTAGATTTCTTATCTTCCATCACGTGCTTTCCTATAGTATCTCAATTATCTCAATCCTTGGCTCATATATGTTGGTAAGAATGTGATTATTTTTAAAAATTGTGAGTATGTTGTGCATGTTGACGCCTATCAAAACTTGGGATAAAAATACATAGAATATCATGTCTCTGTCCATATTTTGTATGACTTTTTTTTTATCCACATAACTTTAGGATCGGGTTTTCTTCTTTTTCTTTCTATACTTAAAATATATAAATGAACAAATAATGTTAGTGTGTCATATAACGATATATATTATCGGGTGTAATCGTTCTTCTTTTCAATGGTCCAGAAATAACATATAGTAGTAAAGTACAAATTCAAAGGGAAGAGAGAGGATTTTGGGTATGCGTCATGTGTTCGAAGAACCCCTTAAGTAGATCGTTATAAATAAGGTAGAATTCTAGTTGTTGGATGAGCAAGCACTAGGTCTCTGAACAGCCAACATATATGATAGGCAATTGATGTATAACATGCACTTCCTGTCCTTTGTCAATCTCAAGTCCTAAGATAATCTCTACATGTTATACCAAAATTAGTTCACCCTCCTCGATCTAGTAGAAGCAATCATCCGGTTCATGGCCATACTAAAGTACTTGCAGGGGATTGTGTTAAGATGGATGCACTTGTTTTGAGCTGTGGAAACCAAATAGACATTTCAGAACATCTTGTAGCACAGAGTTTCAATTATTTTACCACTCGGTCGCTTGCTTAAAGTTGACCACACGCTTCATGAGGAAAAGAAGACATGCTATGATAATTTAAGGGCTCTTGATATGCTGCATAACATCCACTATCCACCTCTCGTGTATTTGTTTGTATGAAACCAAAGGAGAAACTTATGTTCATTTTAATTTGATTATATATGCTGCTGAGTTATGATGTAGCTGTAGAGATTAACTACTTTGTATATGCTTGGCGTGATATTTAAATTGCAACAGCTAATAATCCTTCAAGAAGTTCAACATGCAATGTAGAGAGAGAGAGAGAGAGAGAGAGAGAGAGAGAGAGAGAGAGAGAATTTTAGCGGCCCACCATCAACGCGTGCATGGGCGGGACCTCCTTGCAGCGGTGAATCTGGTAATAGTCAGAGAGACCTTGAATTGTTAACGTCAGGACTACAAAATACAGTAGTCAAAACTTGGACCCATACATGTCTCAGAGAGAGAGAGAGAGAGAGAGTAAAGGGAAAAATGGGCCGGTTAAACAGTTTGGAAGCCGTCATGAAAACAGGGAATGAGATCAAACCAAATCTCAATCATAAATAGATGGCTTTTCTTTTGCCTAATTTTGTCTTTATATGCATGACATTCAAAATTTGATCATTCCCTCGCAACAGTTGTTCACTTGTAGGTGTGGAGACAGAGAATGAGGGATCGTCCACTTACACTGTAACTTCATACTACGTAAAAAAATCTTTTACCTTGAATGTATACACAGCCTTTTCTTATCCCCCCAGCAGGTTCTGAGTTTGCATTTAAGTTAATTTAACGAAAGATAATGCTGTGAGGCTCGTGAATACACTAATAGGACTCCCTCTCAACTCAAGACACCAATACTCAAAACATATTCACCTCATTTAAGTTTTTATACAACAGATTATCATTATTGTCGGTTCAAGTTTTGATAGTTATTTATTCTTAACGTTTGGTAATATATGGATTGATCTTGAATAGGCTTGTCCTGTGAATGAAGATCAAATACATGTACAAGAAGCTGATATGAATCTAGTGTCATGCGCTAGCTTAATTGGTTTCAAATTCGGCATTCGCGGATGTCATCTACAACATGTTTCATCTTTGTCAAATGCATCAGCAAGAGAGGAAGAATAGTTGTGTGCACTCGGCGCATGTAAGCTTGGTGTGCGTGAGCTGCTTGATTTGACGGGCTCACGCGAGATCCATATGATCGATATGCTCAAATGCGTCGAGTTCACATGATTCAACTTGATAACAGAATTTATCATGTATGAGTTGATAGTCTCTTAAAAGAGTGGGGGAAGGGGGAAGAAAAAGGAAAGGACAGATAGAGAACGAGAATTGGCAGGAGAGAGAGAGGGGGACACTTTGTAAAAAAGCATAATAGCAAACTCTACTTTTTGCTTTCCTTTTCATTTAATTTGATACAAGCTTCTGATCCCCAACTTACTCTTTGTCTGCTTCATTCTGTTGAGAAAGTTAATGATAGGGTTATGATGATACTATCATCATTCAATTACACCTCTCTCTCTCTCTCTCTCTGCATGGATATTGAATCTCCACAGTGAAGGTCGCTCTGAGAAGACAAACTTATAATGCTCTCTTTTTAACCTCTACTTTTGAGCCCCCCTCTCTCTTCAATCCTCCTTGTTCCCCTCCTGAATCACCACAATAATTCCTCTCAAATACCCAAAACCCAAAAAACCTAGCATTTTGCAAACAATAACATGTCTCCTTCAGCTTCAACAAGGTGGTGCCCAACACCAGAGCAGCTGATGATCTTGGAGGAGATGTACCGAAGCGGGGTGAGGACACCAAATGCAGCTCAAATACAGCAGATCACAGCCCACCTCTCCATGTATGGCAAGATAGAGGGCAAGAATGTGTTCTACTGGTTCCAGAACCACAAGGCCAGGGACAGACAGAAGCTCAGGAGGAAGCTCTCCAAGCAACTCCACCACCACCACTATCAACTTAACAACAGTCTTCTTTATAATCATCACCATCATCCTCACTATGATCACCAACACATGATGATGAATAACCACCACAATTATCACTTTCTGAGCTCACTTCATCATCAGTCCCCACCTTCTCCTCCAGCTGCTTCTACAAACCTGCAACTTGCTTATTATAACCCTACTTCTAGCCTGATTCCCCAGGTAAATACCCTCTTGGTTTCTACAGTTCAATTGTTCAAAAACTTACTATGCGGATTTTATCTTCTAGTGTTTCTGGCGAACTAATTGTTTCTTGCACATTAAGCAAAGATGAAAGAAGGGTCTCTTATAACATAGAAAAAGCGCAGAGAGAGAGAGAGAGAGAGAGAGAGAGAGAGAGAGCTGCTTTCTACCTACTAAGTGATACTCCTTGCTAGCTGGGGTTTCAATTTTCTGCATCGAAAGCTCATGCTGAAACATGTTTGATGTTTTTAGGCACAAGTTTGTGATGTGATTTGGTTGTTCAATTTGTGCCTGGGCATTTATGTGCCTCTTTTTTTCACACATATAGGGTTATCTTGTAGTTTTGTCGGCTTTTGGGATCCACAAGCGAAAACGGTAAAACATTTTTCTTGTTATTAGGGAGGATTTGGAGGTGCAACACCGCAGGTGATGAATGCTAACAAATGGACGACAGAAATGTCGGAGAAGACGACGGTCGAGATGGACGGCTACCACAAACTGACGACGACAGCGGCAGAAGTGGGTTCGACCCTTCCCATCAGTCTCCCCAGACCAGCCCTCAAAACTCTAGACCTCTTCCCAACCACGGCCACCAATCTCAAAGAAGAGTGGAACAACCTCAAGCTGAGCATCTAATTCCAACCGAAATTCTCATTCAAAAAACGATCGGCATCGACCATCGTAATCGTTGAATCTGAATGAATTTAACAACTGTGATCAGGAGCGTGATCGGTCGGGCCATTCTATACAAAAAAAAAAAATCTCTCAAAAATTAGCTGTACCTCCCTCTCTCTCTCTCTCTCTCTCTCTCTCTCTCTCTCTCTCTCTCTCTCTCTCTCTCTCTCTCTCTAGATTAATAATATGGTAGGGTTTCCATCTGTAATGTGACTTTTCTGTTGGTTTTTGTCTTGGTTTCTGCGATGTATTCTGTGAACTCTAGAATGAGAAACATCTCAATTGTCTAATGAGTAATGAATGAGTAGTGCAGTGTCTTTTTCTGTCCTACTGCTTAACCACCACCCAATCACTCACTCACTCCTCTATTTCTGTCTTAGTTTTACCCCTGCATGCATGCTCTGCTTCTTTGTATCGATCATAAAAGGTTTTGTCACCATCCACTCGTTAAAAGCTGCTGTCAAAAGTAGAAGACTCGGTACTATTGTAGTGCTCGGGACTACACATGGTGATTCATGCGTACGTTTGACGTTTAAATATATAAAGATCGTATTTTGCGGTGTGGTATATTGACAAGTCGATGAAATAACTTTGGGAAAAGTCTTCAGAGAAGGAATCGATGAATCAATATCCCAGAACAAATTTCGTTTATGCAGATGTAGCATCTACGTGACCATGGGCCCTAATAAGTGATTATCATCGGATGAGAAAGATATCATATATCACTACAACATTTTTGTCCCAAGAAAAATCAATAATGGGATCGGGCGATGAGAAATAACTATCTCAACGTGCATCTCTCTCTCCATATCAGTGACAAGCGCGTGCTGATCGAGTGAGCAATGCTAGACTTAGTAAATTAGTTTTACAAAAGGGATTTATTGAGTGATGTATTAGAACGTGAATGGCCCTTTAAACAAGTGGACCATGTTATAAAATCAATGACATAGCCCGATACATCATCTAATAAATCGATTTTGTAAATTGATCTTAGTAACTCTAGCATTTTTCTGATCATGCACCGGTTGGTTGCTTACCTGTTGATAAGTATAGATGAAGGCGATTCTCAATTTTTCCTTGAGTGGCGCTCTATCTAGACGATGATTGTCAAAGAGATGTAAATGGTGAGTTTAGTAGATAGGTGGTCTCAAAAGATCACCTCAGATGGTCCTAAGACCAATCAAATTAATTCCTAGATGGTCTTTCCACCTATTGTGAATATTCAACGTTTATAAAAGGGTTGTTAAGGATTGCATACGAGGATAACCTGACCAAATTTGAAATGCGGGTGTAAATGTACGATTAAAGATGGGTGATTTAAATATCAAATTCTATTTCGAGTTAATATCACAAAAATTCTAAAGTATGATCATTGCAACATCAATACTCTAAAACTTTTTTTAAAATCATAAACTATGCCATTTGTGACTGAGATAACCCAAATTTTGTGTCACCAAAACCTCCAAACTTATACCGTTGTGACAAAAGTTACTCTCGGTCTACCACAAAAAATCCTAAACTATACTTACCGGTGTTACAATGGGCAACGTTTACGATTTTAAGTGGTATTTTCCCTTCTTTTTATTGGTAGGAAAACGACAAAAAAATCTATTTATGGGTTCATGGGCCTGTGTTCGGGCTCATTGACAAAAAAATGTTTTGTTGGTCAGAATAACAACCTTAAAGTCAGTCAACCGAAAGAATATTGGGCTTAGAGACTTGGAATGGAGTTGGATCGAGTTCCTTCCACTCTACAATGATCATTCTAAACGATGCTATATTTCGAAATTCCATTCACTTGTCTTGTCAATGTTTGTTTAGGGACAAGTCAAGCTAATATAGGGCCCGTTTGGTTCAATTTTGCAAATGAGCCTTGGAGGAATGTAAATACCTTTAGGTTAAAGCCCCTTGGGAAAATACAAATGACGTTTGGTAAAAAATTCTTTGTGAAGCTGCTTTGGCCCAAGTAATGTTTGGCTATTTTTTTTTTAGCAAATGGCTTTGGAATTTTCTTTTTTATTAAAAAAAAAGGTTACCCTTCGCTAGAGCTAACGAAGGGCTATGGCCGCCGGCGAGCCAGATCTGTCGCTAGAAGCCATCACCCAAGGTCGGGTGACCCCCACCGAGGGTCACTTGACCTAAGACCCAAGCGGCCGTCACCTGGGGTCGCGCAACCCAAGCCGCGGCCTCCTAAGGGGTCGCGCGACCCATGCCGACGGCGCTTGGGCGGTCGCACGACCTCAGGCGGCCATCACCTGGGTCAGGCGACCTCGCTGGCCCTTTGCTGTCCAGATCCGGTGTTGTCGGTCACCCTCACCGGTTGCCCTTTCGCGAAGAAGATGAATAGTAATGACAAGGGGCAAAATCAGAATATTAAAGAATTAGTGAGGGTAGTTTGGGAAGAAAAAATTAGTTTCAACATTTGACAAATTCTGAAAGCCCAAAACTGGTTCAGACCAGCTTTGAGCTTTGAGCTTTCCCAATGCTGGCTTTCGGCCAAAAGCCCATTAAGAATACTTGCCAAACACCCTAACATTTTCCCAAGGGGCTTTCGAAGCCGAAGCACCGTGGGAATGCTGAACCAAATGGGGCCATAATATCCTATCATCCGGAGAAAGAGAGAAATAGATAAACTTAAAATTTGTTTGATAGCCATTTAATGTCTTTATTCCATATATATGTTTCGTAATTCATCAAAACTCTTAGTTTCTTATTAAATTCTTGATTGTCATATATTTGCTTTGAAACATTAAAAATATATATAAGTAAGCATTACATTATGCATTAACTCACTTTTTTCCTTAAAATCTTCTCATCTTTTATATGTCAAGTTTTCTCATATTTTGTAAACGGATGAGTAAGATCATAGAAAAGTAAATAACATTGTAATAAGATCATCGTGCTCCACAAAAAGCCAACTTGAATGGAAGATTAATCGACCAAAAAAAATGGAAGATTCACTTTCCGATTCTCCTAAAAAATTTCATAAAAATCTTTTATGTGCTATTTACATGAAATACAGTCCCACGTGATTAAAGAAGGGGGTGAATGACAGTTCATATTAATAAAAATGCCATGTCAATATTTTCCGTTAGCCAAATTGATGAAGTTAAATGAAAGACTTGATTGCACTAATTCGATAAGTTTTAGGACTTTAATGCACTTTTTGAAAATTTGAGGATTCAATTGTACTTTCACAATGAGTTTTGGAACTTCTGATACACTTATCCCTTTTTAAAAGCATCTCAAAAACAATTTGTCAAATGCCAAACTACTTTTTTTATGGGATAAATGCATTGGGAGTCCTAAAACTTGTCATCAAAATGCAATTGAGTCATAAAACTTTCAAACAGTGCAATTAAGTCCTAAAACTTGTTATGAAAGTGCAATCGAGTTATAAAACTTTCAAAAAGTGCAATCAAGTCCTAAAACTTGTCAAATTGATTTAATTAAGTCCTTCTATTGATTGCACTTTTTGAAATTTTTAGGACTCGATTGCACTTCCTTGATAAGTTTTAGGATTTGATTGTACTTATGTGATAAGTTTTAGGACTTGATTGAACTTTTTGAAAGTTTTAGGACTCAATTGTATTTTCATGACAAGTAAATACTGCACATTTACATCAAAAACTTTAAAGTATGCCCATTGCAACATCATCACTGCTCAGAATCTTTTGTTGTGTTATAAAAAAAACTTAAATTATGTCTACTGTGACAACAATACCCCAAATTTTATATCACCAAAAAACTCAAACTTGTACTAATGTGACAAAAATTACCCTCCACCTATAACCAAAAACTCTATCTATTGATATATGTCACAATAGGTAAAGTTTAGGATTTTTACTGGTATTTTCCCCTCAGGAAAAAAAATTGATGTTTGGGTTCATGGACTTGTGCTCTGGCTCATTGACAAAAAAAATGCTTTGGTGGTCGAAAATTACCACCTTAGGGTCGGTCAAATATATGCTAAAGAAACTAGGATTAGAGACTTGGAATGAAGTTATTTCTAAATGATGCAATATTTCGAAATTCTATTCACTTGCCTTGCTAACGTTTTTCTAGTGATTGTTAACCTAACATAATTTCATTATCAATTTTAAGACATGCAAACATTCCTTATCCTTTGTCATCTTAAAAGTTATTTAGATATAAAGAAATATATAATCTTCAAATTCCGTTGATATCTTTTTTATGTCTTCATTCCTTCTATCCGCTTCTTAATTAATCAAAATTCGTAGTTTCTCATTAAATTCTTGATTTCATATTTTTGCTTTGAAACATTAAACAGAACGTATGTAAATAAACTTACATTATGAATTAATTGATTTTTTCATTAAAATCTTCTCATCTTGTTTGCGCACTAATTTTCTCATATATTTGTAAACAGATGAGTAAGATCATAGAAATAGTAAATAACATCATAATAAGATCTTTGTGCTCCACAAAAAGCCAACTTGAACGGAAATTTCACCTTTCGATTCTCCTAAAACATTTCATAAAAATGTTTTATGTACTATTTACATAAATATAGTTCCACTTGATTAAAGAAGAGGCTGAATGATAGTTCAAATTAATTAAGATTTTCCTTATCATGCATGATTTATGAACTAACTGATTTTTTTCACTAAAATTTTCTCATCTTTTCTGCACACAAGTTTTTTCATATATTTGTAAACAAATGAGTAAGATCATAAGAAAAGTAAATAACATCATAATATGATATTTGTGCTCCACAAAAACCAAGTTGAATGGAAATTTCACTTTTCATTCTCCTAAAAAATTTCATAAAAATATTTTATGTACTATTTACATGAAATATAGTCCTGCATGATTAAAGAAGGGACTAAAAGACAGATCAAATTAATTAGAATTTTCCTTATCATGCACAATTTAAGGGGATAATAAGAGCACGACTGCCATAACTTTTTTTTTCTTTCACTTAAGTGCCATATCGGAGTAAAATCGATCATTTTGGTGCTACTTCCGACAAACCATTATACGTGGATTTTTTGTATTTTTTTTTAAAATTGATTTATTATTATTATTTATGATTTATTTGTTATTTTCAATTTTCCTTTTTTTCTTTGTTTTTTTAGTCCGCCGACCGTAAAGGCCTTGCTCATGGCCAACGAGGCCACCATGGCCATGGGCAAGGCCATGGCACTTAAGTGAGCGAAACAAATTACAAAAATTGTCCTCGTCAGCATTGGAGGTGCCACATAGGACGATCGGCGTCCACGTCGAATTTTCCGATGAGGCAAATCGCCAATGACACTTAAGTGATCAATTTTTTT